TCCAGACCCCAGATGAATGTTAAAGGGGCTAAACACTGTAACAAGTGTCTCCCGGGCTGGAGAGAGCACAGGTGGAAAGATAGCATCTTCCCAGGGCACGCCCCCCACTCTGCCCGGAAGCAGGCCGCCAGGCTCCGGTCACATAGTGACATTTCATGAGAACCCGGGAAGCCACTGCTGTGAGTGATGCAGTGGCCGAAAACAGCGGCCTCTTCCCACCCCTGGCCATGACCTTTACTCCCTCCTCCGACCCTGACCCAGCATCTGTGCCAGGTGCCTCTGTAAAGACAGGGCAGGCAGGCCAGGCTTCATCATGGACTTATTTCTGACCTCCTCTGTTATTTTTCACATATGTTTTCATTTCATGCCATCACATAATTTTTTAATGTATGTACATATGTAATTGTATATATAACTAATTTACTAAAGACAATCTCTGTGCCTTCTCCCACAAAAAGCTGATAATTTAACATTCATAATTTAATAATTTAAATTTGATATTTAATTTTAGAAATTACAAGACAGAAAACCTTTGTGATCTGAGAAAGCGTAACCGCACTGAGCTTCAGGCTTCTCTAAAGTGGAGGCAATTATTTTAAGTAGCTGAAAAGTCATTTATGATCATGAAAAATTATGAAATGAACAAAATGGGGATGATGATCATAACTACAATGAGAAAACTGTGGAGATTCTATTGTTACAGATGTTAAGTGCTTAAAGCCGTGTCTGGCACATAGTAATAACTTATTAAACAGTAGCTATTATCTTTTCTATATCCTTGTGAACTTGCTAAAAGGTAACAAAGTCCATAGATTCTGCCCAAAGTACAACCAAATAAAAGAATTTATTTTTTAAAACACACACACAGCTTAGAGCAGTGGCTCTCAACCTTCCTAATGCCGTAACCCTTTAATACAATTCCTCATGTTGTGGTGACCCTCAACCATAAAATTATTTGCGTTGCTACTTCATAACTGTAATTTTGCTACTGTTATGAATCGTAAATATCTGATATGCAGGATGTATTTTTATTGTTACAAATTGAACATAATTAAAGCATAGTGATTAATCACAAAAACAATATGTAATTATATATGTGTTTTCCGATGGTCTTAGGCGACCCCTGTGAAAGGGTTGTTCGGCCCCCAAAGGGGTCGCGACCCACAGGTTGAGAACTGCTGCCTTAGAGGTTTAGTGTAGTCTCTTGATTTATAGATGAGGAAGCTGAGGCCGAAAGAGACGGTGTGACTTGCCCAAGATGACACAGCTGGTTAGTGGCACTAGAACTAGCGCCTGCGCCCACAGGGGGCTCCTAGCCCAGCGTCTGGCACTAAACCAGCTGCACTGCATTAAAACTGAACACCACCATGTGACTGTCGTCACCTTAACACAGATTTCCAAAAGGACAGTCCTGGGCAGGGAATGATGAAAAATGTTACCATTAAATTCTACCTGTTGGCCTTGGTGGGAAAGGAAGTACTTGTAAGGCTCGCCTAAAAACAGGAAAAATCCTTTTTTGAGTTGCTTCTATTTTTTGCAACGTAAAATCCAAACCAAGATTACCAAGTCCCTTTCTGATGTGTTCATCTTTACAGATGCAAATGTTCACAGATGTGTCAGATGGAAGGACTTTTGTGATTTGCCGGGAAAGTCTTCGCTTCCCTGTTTGCTTTTGCTAAAAAGAGACTGTGGCCTTGCTGGTCCTCCTGTGTGCTGCGAAGCCATAATCCTTATTATTTCTTTGTTTACCTGTTTCTTGTCTACACTTCATCATATACGCATTGTTTCCACGTGTGAATCTCCCCTTCCCTTTAGGCTGTTTCACGCTGTCCCATTAGCCACTGCTTCATTTCATCGGGTTTATCCCTGAGAGTCTGCTCTCTCCAAGGTCATTCTTAAGAAATGAAGATGCTTTGTGTTCTAAGTGTAGCAAAACCTACTTTGAAGGGAGACTAGATACTGATTAAGCAAGCTGTCACCATAGGTTTTGGTTTTGCAGTAATAGAAAAGCCGGCTCTGAAAGATGATTTCTTCATAAGGAGATGATAAGAACAAAATTGTTATGAAACTGTCATGAAATCTACAAGTCACCTGCTCATCCCCTTGCCTCCTCTCCCTTCCTGTGCGCTGCGTCAGCCTGTTCAGCCACTGGGGAAGGTTTGAGGAGAATAAACCCCGAGGAACTCTGGACAGAGTTGGGCAGCTACGCAGTGTCGCCCGTTTTAAATGTGAAATGATGGGCTTCTGTCACTTCCTAATTCCTTCCAGGGCTGCTGCTTCCGGGCCCACCATCCGTCCGTGGGTTTGCAGCTGCCTTTAGGCCACAGCGCTGGCTGACGGCACAGCCTTTGTCCTTGCAGACTGGGCTCCCCATGCTCAGGACGTGACCTTGGACACGTTACTGGCATCTCACATTTAAAACGGGCGATACTGTGGAGCTCCCCAGCTCTGAGCCTCAGATTCCTCAGCTGTTCAGTGGGAATATTGCAGTTCCCCCGAATAGCATCACGGGGACATTTAAATGAAATGACCTGTGAGACACTTATCATTGGGCCTGGCACGCAGGAAGCCCTCGGTGTCTCTTAGCCGCCGTTCAGGAAATGAGGTGATCCTAGCTCCTTGGTCACATGTGCTGATGAGAGCCCATCCCGTGCTTTAAAAATCAGGTCAGCCCCAGCGGAAGCACAGAGAGCTTGGGAATCGATTCCTGTTGGGGCAGAAGAGGAAGGAGAGTGGTTTCGTGGGCTCTCATGGGACTCAGTTGGCCCCATCCTTATGAGGAACTAGAGACAAGCCGATTCTAGCAAGAGCTTCACCGGCTTGTGTTCTGACCGATGGGAGCTCTCACAGGCGCAACAGCAGGAGGTCCCTCCCCCGGGAGGGGGTCATTAATCCTGAGGCCTGTAAGCTCTGCCCCTTCTCCCGCCGTCAGGGAGGGATGAATTCCCAATCAGACTTCTGGAAGAGGCCAGAGGCTCAGGGCCCCTTGCACCTAAATTATAATTAGACAGACAAGCCTAAACCCACAGCAGAGCCCCTGAAGGTCTAAGTGCCTGACAAGTACAGGTGAGCAATACGCTACCACTTCTGCCTCCACGTCCACACCCTCCCGGGCCCCATCACTTGCCTGATTCCAGGTCAAGCCCAGAACAGACCCTTTGCTTATGGACCAGCCTAATCCGTTTAGCCTGTGTCCTTCACAGTCCCCCAGGGGCACAGTCATCGCCAGGAATGTACGATCCCAGTAAGTAAGCTTAACAGCAAATCCTGCCTGTAGTTACAGGCCTTTAATCGTCCGTTTACCTGGCATCTTCCTGAGCACTTCCACAGAAACTCACTTTTCCTCTTATTTGGGCAAAGTAATTGATCATTTCTCTCTTATTTTTGTCTAAAAAGGACATTTCATATTCTTATATGGAGAAATACTGAAAATGTATAGGTAAACTATTGATAGAGGGCATTTTGGAGTAGGCTGTTTGTATTTATTTTAAATACAAGGAAATGTTAACTTTTGCTTTCTTGAGAAATATAAAATAACCTGAGATACGATACAATTTCAAAAAATTACATAAAAATCAGAAACTACTTAAGAGAAATGGCTGAATTTTGTATACACTAAGTGTACGAACCCCAGGGAAAGCTGGGACTGAGCGAGGCCGCCTGTTCTCTGACGAGCGCTGAGGAAGCAGGTCTCGGTCCTGGGCTCTCTGGAGGTTTAAGTGCCTCTCGGAAGGAAGCGTCAGTCCCTCTCCCCAGACTGAGAGGAGACGAGTCTTGAACTTCCTGTGCAGCCCTATGGAAGCGTTGGAAGCTGGCCTCCTTCCTTGCCCAGCGAGAACTGGCCTCCAGAGCGGCCACAGGCATGTTCACTAGGTTCTGGAAAGCACCTCGGGATGCTGTGCTGATAACCAGGTTTCCTTTTCCAGGTGACCTCCCGGCAGTGCCAGTGTTTGACAGGACTCTGCCTGTGAAGCAGATGCATGTGCTTGAGGCGCTGGACCTCCTGATTCTCCGAGCAGACAGAGGTGTGCTTCCCTGCAGGTGGTGCTCCCCTGCAGGTGGTACTCCCCTCTGGGTGATGCTCCCCTCAAGATTATACTCCCCTCTGGGTGGTGCTCCCCTCCAGTGATACTCCCCTCTGGGTGATGCTCCCCTCCAGATGATACTCCCCTCTGGTGATACTCCCCTCCTGGGTGCTGGTCTCCAGGGGAAAGGGGAGTGTGAAGTCCCCTGTGGCCAGCACTGAAGCTCACAGGGTCTGACTGCATAGGTCGTACCAACTGTCTCTGTTCCTGGTGCTCAGTGCTCAGGGTTCGTGGGTGGCTTACTGGTTCTCTGAAGAGGGGACAGTGAAGGAGAGAAGGTGGGGCAGAGCATCCTTAAATGCATTGATAGGTGAAGGCAGTGGGGGGTCTCCCTGCCTCTAGCCCTGCTTTCCCACACAGTTTGCCCCTTTCATTCTTTTTCACTTTTCCATGCGTCTCCTCCTCCGACTGCTTCGTCTCACCAGGGAAGGACGCCCGCCTCTTTGTCTTCAGGCTGAGTGCTGTGCAGAAGGGCATCGAGGGCAAGCAGGCCGCGTGGGGCAGGTGCGACTGCCGGGAGAACAAGCTGGAGAAAACGAAAGGTGACGCGCAGCCGCGGCGTGGCTGGTTTCGGGTCAGGCTGCCAGGTTTCCCTGAAACTTCAAATGAGGAGGAGTTTGATTTCACTGGTTTGCTTTTACTCGGAAACATCACAAAGATAGCATCACGGGCTCCCTGAGTGAACCCTGAGCCCTGGAAACCATTGAGGACCAGGGGGAGTCCTAGGCTGTGTAACGGGTCAGGGGGCTGGTCCAGCTCTGGGTGGGCAAACTTTTTGACTCGAGGGCCACAATGGGTTCTTAAACTGGACCGGAGGGCCGGAACAAAAGCATGGATGGAGTGTTTGTGTGAACTAATATAAATTCAAAGTAAACATCATTACATAAAAGGGTACGGTCTTTTTTTTTTTTTTATTTTTATTCATTTCAAACGGGCCGGAAATCCGGCCCGCGGGCCGTAGTTTGCCCACGGCTGGTTTAGACGTGGGTTTCTGGAGCTCAATCACCCTCACTTTAATTCATATCATGTTGTGATAGGAAGCTGAGACCACAAACTCTACAATAAAGGGAACTAACGTCCTTAATTTTCCTGTAGCTCAACCCAGTTTTTATTCCAAGTCTCCATTTTGCCAGGTGGCAGCAGCATTCTTAGCCATTTCACTGGGTTATTTCTAATTTCGGGGGATCCTAGGAAGGTCCCGATTGCCAAGGCCTGGGGGCTGGCAACCTCTGGTCCTGATCAGCATCATGGATTTCTCTTTCCAGGCTGCCACTTGTATGCCATTAACACTCACCACAGCAGAGAGCTGAGGGTGGTGGTCGCCATCCGGAATAAACTGCTTCTGATCACAAGGAAACACAACAAGCTAAGAGGGTTGCCCGGCCCCTCGCTGTTATCCCCCCTGTCGGAGTCCCCCGTCGAAGAATTCCAGTACATCAGGGTAGGTCTTCTGTTCAAACCCCCTCTCTCCGGGCCAGGCCGACTCTCCTTCCACGCTGAGTCTGTCATCCACTGGGGTTGCTCCACAGACAGTAGCCCATTCGGGGAACCCTCACCTGAAGCCCTGTCCCCCCAGAGGACTAAGGCCAAAGGGGTCTTTCCCTTCTCCACCCAGATCCCAGGCCCGTGACCACCGAAGGGGTGTTCTGGGCACTGGGGACACAGCAGTGAACAAAACGCCACTCTTCTCCGAGAGATTGCTTGCTAGCTGCAGGGTAACAGGAATCAGCAGGCAGGTCTGTGGTCCTGAGGATAACAGCAAAGTAGGGGTAACAGCAGAGGGCAATGGGGCGGGGGGCGGGGGGCTCTATCCTAGGAAGGACGTCCCAGAAACCCTCTCTGGAAAGGTTACCCTGAGCAGAGATCCAAATGAAATATGGGAGTGGGTGATGAGGGTATCGGGGAGAGGGCATTTCGGACCCTGGCCAAGGCTCAGGCAAGAGGCGGGTGCCCGGGCTGAGTAAAGAGGCAGGGAGGCCGGGGCACGGGACCAGGCTGCTGCCCAGGACTGTGGTTGTGACTGAGTGAAGGGGAAGCCTCTGGAAGGTTTGAAGCAGAGAACTGGCCTGGTTTTTTAAAATATATTTTTATTGACTCCAGAGAGGAAGGGAGGGGGAGAGAGAGAGAAACATCGATGATGAGAGAGAATCATTACTCGGCTGCCTCCTGCACACCCCACACTGGGGATCGAGCCCACAACCTGGGCATGTGCCCTTGACTGGGAATCGAACTGTGACCTCCTGCTTCATAGTTTGAAGCTCAACCACTGAGCCACACCGGCTGGGCAGAGCTGCATGTTTTATGGAGCCTCCTCTGGCCGCTGCGCAGAGGCGAGCATGGGCCAAGAATGGGGATGAGGTGTCCTGCTGAGAGGCCACTGCAGGCCCAGCGAGAGACGGTGGTGGCGTGGGCGGCTGCAGAGGTGGAGGAAGCCGTGGCAGAGCAGCCAGGCCACTAGCCACTAGGTTTGCTAATCGATTGAGGGTGGAACTTGTAGGAGAAGCCTCCTTGAGGGACAGGTTCCTTCCCTGAGCTTACCATTTCTAACTTTTTAAAAACTGTGGTACATTAAGGTATGGACTGTGTCAAGCATTGGCAGCCAAGGCAGAGTATGCCTGTAGGCAAGCTGAGAGATGATTTTGCCTGGAGTTATGCATCTCAGTTTCTGCTTTAATTAGCTATTAGTCTTCTTGATACAGTTATTAGCAATTTTAATGAATATGTATGCCCATTTATGGGGCATACGAGTTCTGAAGTCAGTTTTCCTGAGTTCAGATCTTGGCTGTACCACATATAAACCATGTGACCGTAGGCAAGTCACATGACCTTTGAGCCTCTGTTTTCTCATCTGCAAAGTAGGATAATAACCTTACCTACTTCATAAGGTTGTCATGAGTCTTCAGTGAGAATAGTGGTTGCTTGGCACTGTGTTAAGTGCTCAACAAAGTTAGCAATTATTTTTATTATTATTATTATTAAATCTCTCACAGGACAGGACCAGATAATCTAAGGGCTAACTCAAACCACATTGTTGAATCACTTTTGTAAAAGTGTTCCCTGGCCCCGCCCCAATGCGTGGAGGAGGTCTGGTCCTGAGGACAGGGTGTCGGGGAGAACTCTCTGTCAGGAGCAGGGTCTGCAGGACCTGGGAGGGGGCCCCCTTCTGGATGGGGCGGGCAGTGGGGCTTGATATGAAGATGGCTGTCTGTGTCCTGACCGTTTCTCCTACCCTGTCAACCACACAGGAGATCTGTCTGACCGACTCTCCCGTGGTGATGACTTTAGTAGACGGGCCAACAGAAGAGAGTGACAATCTCATCTGCGTGGCTTATCGACACCAGTTTGACGTGGTGAACGAGAGCACGGGGGAGGCCTTCCGGCTGCACCATGTGGAGGCCAGCAGGGTGAGTCGCAGCCACAGGCAGGGGGGATGGAAGGCGACCAGCGGTGTGGCTTCCAGCTCTGTGAAGCCACGGTTAGCAGGTTCTGTATCGTATCAGTATTAGGTGGTCACAAGATCAGGTCTCTGGCTTATTTGTGGGCCCCAGTCCCAGGGGTTCCCAGTTGGGAGCTCACCCCGAGCCACACGGGAGGGCTGGCCACGGGCCCAGCTGGGCTTCCTCTTCCGCGGGCGCTGGGAAGGCAGGGCACAGGCCTCACGTGTTACAAAGCTGTGCTTTTTCATTTTCACAAACACCATATGTTATTTTCATCATTTCTAAATGCCAATAAAATGAACTGCTTTTTAAGCAAAAAAACATTGAAAAGCCAATGCCCCACATTACACTATAACGTCAGGATCTAGGAGTGAGGACCCGGAATTGCCTTTTCCGAAAGCTCTCTAGCTGGCTCTCATGTCCTCACCTGGAGAAACGGTCGTGGAGCTGGTCCTGCCGGGCCCTCACCCCGGAGAGACCGAGGCAGGGATTGGGTTGAAGCATGAAGCGGGTCTGCCGTGCTGAGTGTCAGTAACGGCCTGACAGGCTGCGGAGGACTCAGGAGGGAGTGGGGAGGCCCCCGCTGTGGCTCTGTCCCTGATCCCAGCCGTGGCTGGCACTCCGCTGTGGCTCTGTCCCTGATCCCGGCCGTGGCTGGCGCTCCGCTGTGGCTCTGTCCCTGATCCCGGCCGTGGCTGGCGCTCCGCCATGGCCTGCCCCACAGCCTGACTCTGAACACAGCCACACTGTCAGCTCAGTCCTGGCAGAGTCCCCATAGACCTGCCTGATGCCAACTGCTGCCCTGGAGCGAGATGAGCCGAATGCAGGAGGCCGCACGAGCCCCCACTGGGAGGGCAGGGCAGGCAGCCCAGGGGCAGCGTGGTGCACAAAGGCACCTGAGGGACGCGGGAGGCTGCTGTTGGGCGGGGTGCTGGGAGCCCCTGAAACTTCCCGCCTGCCCACGACCCCGCTCATTATCATTGCAGGTTCATTTCGTTGCAGCTATTGATGTTTACGAAGACGGGGAAGCCGGGCTGCTCTTGTGTTACAACTGTAAGTGAGCAATGTGTTTGTGTCTTTATCTGCTGAAGTCCACCGTCCCTTTTGGGGGGCAATTTGAAGGGACCTAACCCTAGACTTGCCTAATGGTTCATTCCCGTGCCCTTAACTGCGCTCCAGGAAACATCTAAAAATTGCATTCCTAACTAGATCTACCAATACGCCCGGATCGTGGCCCCGTCTCCAGGGTGTGGGGGTGACAGTTAGAGTGACAGCTTCCGTTAGGGAGCCCTTGCTGCCTGCCACGTGCGGCACTCAGGACGCTGGAGTCAGCATCTCTGTGATTCTCAGGTGCTCGTATTACCTGTAGTTTGGAGAAAAGGCAGCTGAGGCGGGGGGCGGGGAATTGCCTTCCTCAGATCATGCGAAGCCGCGGAGCCAGGGCTCGCATTCGGCCCCGGTGACTCCCTCGCCCAGAATTTTGACCACAGGGACTCCTCGTGGCCGCACTCACCTGGCGAAAGATGGCCGTTCCTGGGTGTATTTTAAATCTGAGAACCCAGGCATTTGGCTGATGGGTCAGACAGACAGTATGAGAGGAAGAGGCAGGTTCTGCAGGTGGGGCCCGGGCCGCCGGAAGAATGGAGGATACATTTACCGGGAAGAGGGACCCTGAAGAGGAGGGCGCTTGGGGGAAACATCCGAGTTCAGTTTGGACGCGTCGGCGCCTCCCAGTGATCCCAGTGGAGCCCTGAGCCATCAGCTGGGTCACGTCCGGAGCTGGGCGCCCAGCGGGAGGGCTGGCGGGAGATACCACTGGGTGTCGTTAGCATGTAACTGACATCTGGAGTCACGAGACTGAAGAGACTGTGTAAAGAGAAGTGGGAGAGAGACAGGCGGAGCCAGCACGGAAGACGGAGGGCGGCAGGAGGAAGACCAGGAGTGGGCGGGTCTGAGAGCCGCTCTGGCTTTACCAGGTGGAGTCGCTGGGAACCTTGTTCCGAGCAGGTGTCTCTGGGGCAGAAGTGGGAGCAAAAGCTGACCACACAGGACACTAGAGAATGGGGAAGAGGAATAGAGACAAGTCTCGCAAAGACTTTTGCTTTGAAGGAAAAAGAGACAGGGGAAGAGGGTGATAGCGAGAGGAGGAAGAGAGGTCAAGGGTTTAAGAATAAAATTGTATGGCTAACCCATGGTGGCTCCTGGAGTACAAGGGGCCTCCGCTTCTACGTGAACGCCCTCCCTACGAGAGGGTCCAAACCACTGGACTGGTGTTTAGAGCTGGGAGCAGGCAGGAACAGGGTAGCTGAAGTAACCTGGCCTTAGTCTAATGCTGGCTCAGGGTCACCAGGCGATGCAGGCATGTGGCTTCAGGTTTCCTAATAAAATGTTGGGAGGAGGGACATGTGGAGCTCTCACCACTAGTCCTGCCGAGTGGGGCTCCGTGTCGGACCTGCCCCTCAGGGGGGCTTCCTGATCCGAGGGCTTCCAGCAAGTGTCCCTTCTCTGCAGTCAGGCGGCCCCGTGTTCTCCCCACATGGTACTGCTGAGACTTCGGACCAGCTACTTCACCTCTCCTCGCCTCAATTTTCTCATCTGTAAAATGGGCGCAATAATCGCATCCACTTCATAAAGCCGTACAGATCCAGGGGGTGGTGTTTTCAAAGCTCAGAGCCTGGCTTGTGATAAAGTCTCCCAAAGTGGCAGCTGTGGTTATTGCAGTGCTGCCCCTGGGAACCTGGCCTCGGGACAGCAGTCAGGGTGCTATTCCTGTGGTCTGCTTGTCATGCATCCGATTACAGTCATCTAAGTATTGTCTCCAACAAAAATGAGTCCTATTGTTTCGTTGCAGACAGTTGCATCTATAAAAAAGTGTGTCCGTTTAATGGGGGCTCTTTTTTGGTTCAACCGTCTGCGTCCGATTTCCAGTTCTGTTGGAACCAGGCTCCTTACGCGGTCGGTAAGAAAGTCCTTGCCTGCACTCCTCCCCTCGTGCATTCCCTGGGCCTATCCACGCTGCGTCAGCAGACTCGCTGGCTTCCTGCTAAATTGCCATAAATTATGTGAAGATGGGCACTCAGTCGTTTCTGTTGTTCCCCTTTTAGGACTATTGTCTCTACGGTTCCTCCCAGTTCTGAGCACATGATCCTTTGAGATCAATTAAATCTCAGCTTTTAGCGTCCTTTCATTTCTGGTTTCTGGGCCCCACTCGCCTTTATCTAAAATGCAAGATGAGATCCAGTCCTAACACCCGGACTGACGTGGGGGAGGGGAAGCCCAGTGCTTCCAGTGCCATTCCCATACTTAAAAAGTCTAGAACCACAGAAACGCAGGGACTTTGTCCGTCACTGGGATATCACGACACGCATGGTGGTGCCTCGTGTATGTGGGAGCCGGCCCAGACACCGGAGGACCGGCTGCCAATGACAGGCCGGTGTGGTAACAAGGAGGGGACCTGGCCAATGACAGGCCGGTGTGGTAACAAGGAGGGGACCTGGCCAATGACAGGCCGGTGTGGTAACAAGGAGGGGACCTGGCCAATGACAGGCCGGTGTGGTAACAAGGAGGGGACCTGGCCAATGACAGGCCGGTGTGGTAACAAGGCAGGGACCTGGCCAATGACAGGCCGGTGTGGTAACAAGGCAGGACCTGGCCAATGACAGGCCGGTGTGGTAACAAGGCAGGGACCTGGCCAATGACAGGCCGGTGTGGTAACAAAGAGGGGACCTGGCCAATGACAGGCCGGTGTGGTAACAAGGAGGGGACCTGGCCAATGACAGGCCGGTGTGGTAACAAGGAGGGGACCTGGCCAATGACAGGCCAGTGTGGTAACAAGGCAGGACCTGGCCAATGACAGGCCAGTGTGATAACAAGGCAGGGACCTGGCCAATGACAGGCCCGTGTGGTAACAAGGCAGGGACCTGGCCAATGACAGGCCGGTGTGGTAACAAGGAGGGGACCTGGCCAATGACAGGCCGGTGTGGTAACAAGGAGGGGACCTGGCCAATGACAGGCCGGTGTGATAACAAGGCAGGGACCTGGCCAATGACAGGCCCGTGTGGTAACAAGGCAGGGACCTGGCCAATGACAGGCCCGTGTGGTAACAAGGCGGGGACCTGGCCAATGACAGGCCGGTGTGGCAGGGATGGCTAAACTGGCTCTCAGGGTCTGAGCCACACCCTGGAGGTCACTTGAGGGGTGGAGGTGAGAGGCGAGAGGCGATGTTTGGTAGAAAGTGTCCAGGGTGAGCCAGGAAAGTGCAGGGTCACCAAGCAGAGTGCAAAGGAGCAGCCAGGTTGGAGGGGAGAGGGCAGGGAGGGGCCAGTACAGAGGCAGGAGTGGGATCCCTGGGCACCAGGGCAGTTGTGGTGTGTGGAAGCCATAATGTGTCGGAAAAACGATGTCAAGAAGAGGGGCCGATCTCAAGCCCACCGAACGCAGGGACGTGGTGAGGGACGGTGAGGGATAAGGCGTGGCCCCGCCCCGCACACAGGACAGAGGAGGAGGGAGGGGACTGATGACAGGGACCGGAGAGGAGAGAGACCAGGGAGGGCTGGGTCGGCTGTGGGTGGACGGTAGGGGTCTCCCAGGGCCTGGGCAGAGCCGCGGGAAGATGGGGCTCCAGGACTGCGGGAGGGAAGGCGGTAAGGAGAGGAGACAGCGCACCCCCACCAGAGGCACAGCGTGGCCACCAGGGGAGGCTCTCTTAGGACTGGGCACAGGCCCGTGAAGTGGGAGAGGCAGCCGGAGCACTGGGAGGGGCGGGAGCTCCCCAGAACTGAGGAGGGGTGTGAGACAGCCACAAGTGGGGGGCTGGAGCTGACGCCCGCTGCCTTGCAGTCTGTGCTTTCCCGTACCTCCTGGCCTTCACCCCCGACTCCATGGAGATCCGCCTGGTGGTGAACGGGAACCTGGTCCACACCGCGGTCGTGCCTCAGCTGCAGCTCGTGGCCTCCAGGGTGAGCAGACCCCATGTTTCCATCCGAGGGGCTGTGGGCCCCAAGGCCAGGAGACTCCCCTCCCAGCCCGTCAGGTGTCAGGACGCCAGGGGGCGATGAGGAGGCTGGAAATGCTCCCGGTGGGGTTTTCATGTGCGGCCCTGGGCTGCAGGCGCCCCTCTTACCCCCCGCGAGCGGTTGTTTGGTGCAGTGAGGGGGGCGCCCCTCTTACCCCCCCGCGAGCGGTGGTTTGGTGCAGTGAAGGGGGCTGTGCGGCCTCTCCCCAGCACCGGGCACAGCGCCGCCCTGGGGTGCGCTGAGGAGCTGAGCGAGGACGAGGGTCCCCAGCGCCCGGCAGCCCTCACGTGCCTGATCTCTTTCCTCCCAGTCGGACATCTACTTCACAGCAGCCGCGGCCGAGAGCCAGGTCCTGTCTGGAGGCAGCTCCAAGGGGGCCAGTGCCCACAACTCTCCTCAGACGCCCCCGGGCGGAGATGCTCCCGTGTTCCCGTCGTCCCTGGGGGAAGGTGAGTCCCGTTTTCACTGTCCTGTTCAGAGGTTTCTTAGTCCGTTCTTTGTCAAATATCAGCACGTGACTACCGCCCAAGGAAGTCACTATTTAAAGCCATAAAAAACGTGTATTCTGAGTGCACTGGTTGCATTCTTAAGAAACTTGGGGATGCAGCCCAAGTGCCCATCAGTGGCCGAGTGGATGAGAAAGCTGGGGCACAGTCACACCGTGGAACACTGTGCAGAGTGAGACAGAAGGATCTCTCACCCCCGAGACAGCCTGGAGGGACCCGGAGGGCATTATGCTGAGTGAAGTAAGTCAGAGAAAGGCAAGGATCACGTGACCGAACTTGTATGTGGACTCTAAATAACAAAATAAACTGATGAACAGAGCGGATCCAGAGACATGGAACAGAGTGCGGAATCTCAGAGGGAAGTGGGAGGAGGTGGGGGGAGCAGTAACCAACCAGAGACCTTGTATGCACGTATGCATGGCCATGGCCACGGGCAGCAGGGTGCTGAAGGCCTGGGGCGGGGGGGCAGAGGAGGCTGGAGGGGGTCCATGGAGGAAAAGGGGGACATATGTAATACTTCCAACAATAAAGAATTATTTTTAAAAAAAGAAAGAAAAAAGAAACTTGGTGATAACAAACAAACAAAAAAATCCCATAATGAAAAAAACTTGTTTCAGTGGGGAGAAGGGGGGAAGGGCGGGAGGGCTAGGGGATTCCGGGCCAAGCAAAGCTAGTCTTCCTTCTGGGATGTTAACAACAGACGGGGATTATAGCTAAAAGGATCTGGTCATAAAGCCTACAGGCTGCTCAGCACACCCAGTCTTGCTTTCTACCTGGCTTTGCTGTGGTTGCTGGTTGTCCAGCTTCTCCCACATCAGTCCCCTTTATGCTCCTTGTTACCCTAAAGCCCGGCTCCCCGCTGGCCTCTGCAGCTGCTGGCGGGCCTCGTCTGCCCCTCACTCCTGTGCCGGTAGCCAGCGGTGGGCGCATCTCATCCTCGTTACCATGACAGCAGTGCCCTTCGAGAGGTGGCAGGCACCATCGCTTCATTGCTCCTGCTGGGAACAGGAGATCAGTGTGCAGCATCAAATCTTCCTTCCTGCTACCTGTTGAGGAACCAGAAATTACCCTCTTGTAAATAATATGAACTTCTCTTAAAGTCCTAATGCTCCTTTCTAAATCACTTTTCAGGTGAAATTCAGTCAAAAAATCTGTACAAGATTCCACTCAGAAACCTCGTGGGCAGAAGCATCGAGCGACCTCTGAAATCGCCCTTGGTCCCCAAGGTCATCACCCCGCCCACCTCCATCAGCGTGGGCATCGCTGCCATTCCCGTCACTCACTCCTTGTCCCTGTCCCGGATGGAGATTAAAGAAATAGCGAGCAGGACCCGCAGGGAACTGCTGGGTAATGGCTCTCACTTATTTCTTTTCACCGTTTGTAACCATACCAGCTGGTTTTGTCTTTGGATAGTCATCATCCTCAAAAGCAATGTGCTAAAAGGAAACGTTCCCTTTAGAAAGGGATTTTTAAATAAATTACAGTGCATCTATACCTAGGAATACTATACAGTTCACCACACCAAGCCTCGATCTATGTTTATTGGTAGGGAAAGCTGCCTAAATCATGGCTAAGGGGGAAAAGGCTGTTTGTAAATAGTGTCTAATCTGATACAATTTTAAAAATATATACTGGAACCCAGCCAGTGTTGCTCAGTGGTTGCACATCAACCTATGAACCAGGAGGTCATGGTTTGAATTCCAGTCAGGGCACATGCCCAGGTTGCAGGCCAATCCCCAGTGTGGGGGTGCAGGAGGCAGCCGATCAATGATTCTCTCTCATCCTTGATGTTTCTCTCTCTCCCTCCCCCTTCCTCTCTGCAGTCAATAAAAATATATTAAATGAATAAATAAAAATATATCCTGTATCTTCTTTCCTCCTGACTGTCCCAATGATGCACCAGTTCCCAACCAAGAAGAGGGGCATTTTCTATCTCTGCGGCAGCTCTGTGGCGATGACCTCTGACCTCTGGTTCTCCCCTGCAATCCAGGCCTCTCCGACAACGGTAGCCCCAGGTCAGAGGCAGCACCGAAGCCTAAGTCAAAGGCCCGGAAGCAGTTCGAGGAAAACCGCGGAGCTTCCGCGCCGGGGACAGTGAGATCAGCGAGCAGCGACAGGTAAAGAAAGAGCAGCCCCAGCAGCCCCTGCTCAGGGGTGGCCCTTCGAGTCGCAGCCCTGGCAGGAGCCCTGTCTGCTGCCGGTGACGCTGTGGGTGGCCCCTGGACCAGCCGCCGGGGAGCTCCTCGTGGAGGCTCCCCGGAGAACACAGCCTGCCGGGGGCGCCCCGACAGATGGGCAACCCGACAAGTGCTCAGTAAGAGTCAGGCATGTCTGTAATTTTGCTCCCCATATTTATGGACATAATTTTTTTGAACAAAAATGCTCAGTAGGAGTGACAGGGAAAGGCACGTCTGCAGTGCTTTGGTGGGAGCGGAACAGCCGCAGCCTCTGCTGGCAGCGTAGTGCCACAGCCCAGCGACTGCTTGTTGAATCCCACTGGCTGGTCCCCTGAGATCCTCTGTGTCCCCCACACGACACCATGCAAGCTCCATTAATTCCTTCAACACACCTCCATGGAGCGCCTGGCACCAAGCTGGGTGTGGGGACATGGAGGTGGGCGACAGGGCCTTCGCAGGACTATGGGGAAGGACAACAAGGACAACCTAGGACAGACGGCATCCCCGGGTGGCAGGTGATGCAGAGGATGCGGTCGCCATAAGGAAATTTAAAAAAGAGATACATGAGGGGGTGTGGGGTGGATAGGTCTACTTTGGGCGGGGCGGGGCGGTGGGGAGTAGGAGGAAGGCTTCTTTGAGAAAGTGGCACTGAGCTGAGCAAGAGAGACATGGAGACACACGGAGGGCTGGAGGGGCTGGAGGGGCTGGAGGGTCAGCAGGGCAGGGCAGGGCCTGTGGCCTGTGGCCTGTGGGTGGGAGTTTCAGCCTTAGCCCCAGGCCACGGGAGCCACTGGACAGTATCGTGTGGGCACTGAAGCAGGTAGATGCCTCACGAGCACCTCCGAGGTCTGTCACCCTGGCCTTTGCAGCTCCCACCAGTCCCGGAGGTAGGGCTGCCAGATTGCAGGCCCCAAGCTCTGTTGGGGTGGTGGGTGACTCCTGCATGTCCCCACCGCGCCCCCCAATGGGAGGGGGGAGACAGGCTTAGGAGCTCAAAACTGCCAGAAACTAGGCCCCTCAGTGGTCTTCGCAGCGATCCTTTCCCAGCGACTCTTCTCTTCTAGGATCACATCGGGCTCCTTGGAAAGTCCTTCTACCGCCGAAGCCAATCCCGAGGGGCAGTGCGCCTCGACGGGCTCTGACCAGGACCCTGGGGAGGACAGAGAAGGCAGCCCCGTCTGGGGCAGCAGCCCCTTCCAGCTCCCGGCTTCCTCGGATGAAGACATCATTGACTTGAAGTAAACGGAGTCCAAGTCGAGTTTTCCACCTTTCGTTTTCTTATGGACGTTTATACTTTCACCAGTTCTGACATCATTTCCCAACAGCGCGGCGTCTAGCCTGTCCGCGATCTATTGGACCAAACCTCTGCCGCTCGCCAGTCCGGTCGGTCTCTAGTGCCCAGTGCCGTCTCTCGACCTTGGTTTCTTTCTGTGCAGGAACCATCAGTCCCCTTGTAACACAGGTGGTAGATTTCATTGAGGTTTTAGATTAAAACTTTGAATAAATCAAAAATGTTCACTCTTTCTATGGCAGCCTTCTCTTATATACTTAGGTGGGAAAATTATTTTTTTCATGTCCTAGAATGTTTCTTTTACAAAGAAAAGCCATTGCTTTTTAAATGTATTATAAATAAGTTTTTCTGCACCTTTGGCCCAATGACTGCTTCAGGTCCCTGTCACCAACACCAGCCCCGTTCCTGCCCCTGGACTCTTGAGAAAAGCTGATGGTTGGGTCTCAGAAGCTCCTGTGCCTTTTTCCTTGTGTCTCACAACAATAAGGTATAGGAAGAAGCTGAAGAGTCTTAAGATTATTTTGTTTGGTTCTATTGTTACTCTGAATTCATATAACCAGAGAACAGTTATCAAAACGAGCATTTTCGAGTGCCTTCCTCTCCCTCAGCTCTGCTTTGCTCTTTCCCGTGAACCAGATGATTGTCCTTCCTCTTGTTACTTATCTGCCTTCCCCTGCTCCCTCCTCCAAGTGAGAAGAGAATCTGGGTGCAAATGAAACAGCGAAACGTAAGCCTCCAGCCAGGACAGTTAAAGGGGGAACCCAGTGTCCCTAACATTGTAAAAGTTTAACGTGTGAAGAAGGTAACTGACCTCTGGCATTCGTCTGACAAGTCCGTTTTAGTAGATCTCTTCTCGTCTACACTACCCATCAAAAGACACTGGAAATCACTTCCCCTGTTAGTGCAGAGAGCTGTGTGACATAACCTTGATCTGACCTTGATCATGACCTGCCTCCTCGTGGGCCTTGCACACTGCTCCCCTCCCTGCCTGCCGCACACACGGTTCAACACGATGGAGAATGCAAGCTGAAGGCCGCCTGGGTCCCTTCAGCAGAAGGCAGGAGGCCAGAGTCAGAAGGTAAATTAGTATGAAGTAAAGACGGTGCTTTCTATGTAGAGGCATGTGGGGCGCTTACAACCGAACGTGTCTTCTCATGGTCTCCGCAGCGTTCAGCACGCTGGTCCTTCCTTTGCGTTTTGTTATGCCCTTGTCACATACCGGGGAACACAGAGTCCACTACATCCTGTATCTCGAACTCACCAAAAGTTTGGTGAACTAGGTTTTATTATTGTTTGCTTTCAAATAAGGAAACAGGCTCAGAAAGGAGCAATGGCTTGAAGCTGTGAGTTCTCTGGTCTCAGAGCTGGGCTCTCTCCCTGCCCACCGTACACAGCCAGGCTGAGTGATGGTGTCAGTTGGACCGGGCTGATGTTGTTCATGTTAAGCTAATTTGTGAGCTTTATGAGCTTGTATGGGTGTTTTTTCCTGTTAATTTCTTCCCCTGATGGTTCTTGCTTCTCATTCTGGAATAGAAAAACCAAGGGCTTTGTAGACCATTTTTGCAAACAATTGGGCAGTATTAGAGTCACCCCATGACTTGACAAAAGTCACAAATCTGAGGAATGAATGTAGAAAGGGCAAGAAGTGGACCCTACTAATCAGGTGGATGGTGCTTCGCTATGAAGCGGGCAGGAGGCTGCTCTGGCAGCAATATCTGCTTAGTGGTCAAGAACTGAACACTCACGGGAGGGAGACCACCAGCCAGAGGGCAGGAGCCGGTTTTTAGGCTCAGAGCTGGCCTAGCTGGACTCACTGGAGTGTCCTGTCTGCAAAGGTCTCTCCACACACCCCACCCGCTGAGTTACAAAGTAAACTGAGCAGTTTACCCCTGGAGTCTGAGTCATGCATCCACTGCAAACACCAGGTGCTGTCTGCAGAAGACCACGTGCATGGGGCGGGAGAGAAGTAAACAGGTGACCACAAAGCGATAAGAAGTGCTGTGATGAGAATTTACAGCTCGAGCACAAGATGCCTGTCCTTATGGTGCAGTCAGATGACTGCAGAGGGCAAACAGCTACCATGATCACACTGGCTAGCACCATGATCACACTGGCTAGCACCATGATCACACTGGCTAGCACGGACAGCTTCGCATACGTGTGCTTGGTGTTAGTGTACGTTGCCCCTGCTCAGCCCCTGCTCCAAACTCTCTTGGAAGACAGATTTCATCTCCATTAGAGATGAAACACAGGCCCAGAGAAAGATGAGAAGCTACGCCTCTTACAGCCCTGGTTCCTTCCAGATTCACCAGCACCACCCCAGCGGCGGCACCCAGTGTTGGTGCTCCTCAGCCCTGACCTCCTCGCCCTCGCCCCAGCAGCAGTGGCTTGGGGGGCACCCGGAGTGGCTGGCTATCAACATCCGCAGCGGCCCCAAAGATGAGCGGTGTATATATTTTTATTGATTTCAGAGAGGAATGGAGAGGGAGACAGAAACATTAATGGGAGAGAATCCCGATTGGCTGCCTCCCCCATGGCCCCAACTGGGGACCCAGCCCGCAACCCGGGGAATGTGCCCTGACCGGGAATTGAACCGTGACCTCCTGGTTCATAGGAGGTCAACCCCTGAGCCACGCCGGCCGGCAAGATGCGAGGTATTTGGATGAATATTCAAGAGTCAGGGTTACCTGTGAAGTGGGTGGAACTTAACAGGGAGCGTGAAGCTCACGCCCTGATCAGTCCCACAGGCGGCATAGGGCCCCCCCCCCAACACGGTGCCCAGCACCCGGAGGTCCTAGTCGCGGGCTCTGCAGCCACTGGTGACCCGCAGGTGGGGTGCGCGGGGGCCACGCCTCCGCCCCGAGCCCAGCGGGTCCAGGCTCTGAGTCTGGGAGGAGAGTGACACGCGACAGTCTTTTGGAAACTCCAGCCCCGCGGCTCTCGGTGGGCAGAGCAGGGCCGGGCGGAGGGGCCAGGCTTCTCTACGTCAGGGCCCAGAGCCGCGGCTCACGAGGAGCAGGAACTGCAGACCCGTCTGTGGAAAGACTGGGCAACCGCCCGCGAGGGGCTGGAAGTCCTGGGGGGCCCACGTGCTCCGCCTTCGTCCGGCCCCAACCCCATTGGCTGAAGCTAGACAGAGAGGCGACTCCCAGACAAGTGCAATCCCCGCCCTCCACCCTCATTGGCCGGCTCGGCTGGAGGCAGCTCCTTGACCCCGCCTGGTCCGCACCACTCCTATTGGATGACAAACCCCGCCCCTCCTATACATTGGATAGCTCTGTCCTAGGGGCGGTTCCAGCGCGCTCCGCCTACCGAACTTTGCTTCCATTGGTCTGCTCTGCTCTGTAGGGCGGATCCCATCGGCGACGCTACCGTGTCTTGCGTTCCCATTGGCTGCTCCCACACCACCCTTGCTGCCTCCCAGGGCCTCCCAGACAGGCCCGTTGGCCGGCTCTGCGGGGAGAGCCGGTGTCTGCACCAGGACCTGCCGGCGTTGGCCGCGGACATGACGCCTGAGGACCAGGAGGAGACCCAGCCGCTCCTGCGGCCGCCGGGTGGCAGGTGGGCGGGCGGGCGGGGGAACCCGGGCCTGGGGCGCGGCCTGGCCCCTCTCGCTGCGCCCGGGCCGGCGCCGCTCACCGACCGCCTATCCCCGCAGCGGCCGCCGCGTCTTCCTCGCCGCCTTCGCCGCTGCCCTGGGCCCGCTCAGCTTCGGCTTCGCGCTCGGATACAGCTCCCCGGCCATCCCGAGCCTGCGCCGCGCCGCGCCCCCGGCCCCACGCCTCAGCGACGACGCTGCCTCCTGGTTCGGGGTGAGGCCGCCGGCTGGGACCCCCCACTCCCACCCCTGGGACGCGCGGGGGGATCCTCCCCCGGCCTGGCTTGGGGCGGACACGGAGACCCTCCGCCGATTCCGTCCCGGTTCCCCCGCCAGGGGTCGCCCTCTCCCCGACCACCAGCCGGGGACCTGGTCCCCCTCCCTCGGAGGCCGCTGGGGGTGGGGTGGAGGGCGAGGTTGGGCCGCGCCCCCCTGGCGCCCCCTCCTCAGCTGGCGATCGCCCGCAGGCCATCGTGACCCTGGGCGCGGCGGCGGGCGGCGTGCTGGGGGGCTGGCTGGTGGACCGCGCCGGGCGCAAGCTGAGCCTCCTGATCTGCACGGTGCCCTTCGTGGCCGGCTTTGCCGTCATCACCGCCGCCCAGGAAGTGTGGATGCTGCTCGGGGGCCGCCTCCTCACCGGCCTGGCCTGCGGCGTTGCCTCGCTAGTGGCCCCGGTGAGTGGCCCGCAGCCTCGCGCCCAGGAACCGAGGAGCAGCAGACGGGGGCGTGGTTCTCCGGGGCCTCCGGGTGGCCCTTATCTGCTTTATCTCCCTTACCCTCAGTGGCCCCGTTTGCAGAGGAAGTAAGTTTCCGCAGTGAAGTCCTTTGTCCAGACTCAACTGGTCAGTGGCCAAGCGACTACCCAGGATTGTGCCACTTAACGTGGCCTCCCTTTTGCTCTGTGGATGGTCAACAGCAGCCTCACAGTATGGCTTGGGCCCCCTTGTCATTCAGACCACTGAGTACAGTTTAGCAGGAAAATCCTGCCCGGTTTGTCCCGGGGCAAAGGCTGCTGCCGAGGGCCACTCCCCTTCGCTGCTCACACACCAGGGCTCGCGGCTTCCCTGAGTCTGTCAGCTCCTGACCCAGCACAGCCAGGCTGGCTTCCGGCTCTGCCGCCTCCGGGTCCTCAGCTCCCTCCCGTGAGTGAGAAGGACCGGTCACCCCATGAGTGGGGGAGGAATCAGAGACACACACATCAGCCCTGTCGTGGCTTATGGAGGACTTGGATCTTGCAGCTGGGATTGCTGGTGACCAGGGAACTGCCGCTGGCCATGGGCTTGGGTGACCCACCACCCACGCCCCAGCCGGGTCGAGATTGAAAGCAGTGGTGTGGGTTTCTCCCTGCTCATCCCGTTGCACCTGCCATTCCTTTCACCTGCATTGGCTGGGCAGCTGGTTGGATTTTATGTCTGGGGTTTTTACTGGGTAAAAACACACCTAAGCCATGGGCGTAGGTATGGAGTAACCCAGAAGTAAGAGCAAGGCCTCTTTGGCCCCTGAGCATAGTCGCCGATAACCAATGAGGTGAAGAGTTCCTGCTTAACTCCAAGGGCACCACGCCAGCAGCCAGGTGTCACCTGGAGCTAGTTAGAAGGCAGACTCTCAGGCCCCACCCACACCTGCTGCACCCGCCTGCGTGTTACCAAGGGTAATGATACAATTACATGAAAGTTTGCAAAGCTCTGTGCCCACCCCCCCATCACCCTACACACAGCAGCCACTCAGATACCCTCACCCCTTTAAACACCTGCTGCAGATCACTAGGTGGGCGCGGGAGGTATGAGCAAGGCTCTGACCCGGGGCTTGCAGTTAGGGGCCCACCGGGCCTGCAGCTCCCCCTTACCTGCTCACAGGTCTACATCTCTGAGATTGCCTACCCTGAAGTGCGGGGGCTGCTGGGCTCCTGTGTGCAGCTGATGGTCGTCACGGGCATCCTCCTGGCCTATCTGGCAGGTAAGAGTTTTCACATCTTCTCTTTTGATCCCTTTTAATGGCCCCTTGGCCACTTTAAAGCCACGGAAACTGAAGTTCAGGAGAAGTCACAGGAGTTGCCCGAGGTTTCACAGCCAGCACCCAAGGTGCTGGGTTCCCAGACCCCCTCCCTGAGACCCCGGGAAGCGTGGGTGTGCCTAAGTCCCCGGGAGAGCTGACGAAGGTGCTCATCCTCCTGGGCAGAAGCCCATTCCCGGGGTCTGGGGAGAGCTGGCTGCTTAGGTCAGTGCCTCACTGTGCAGCGACAAACAGGATTCAAGGGGCAGCCGGGGCACCCCAACAATCTCCCGCCCAGGCGCTCGGGCCCAAGCTGTCTCCCTCAGAAACATCAGTACTGCATTTGCAGCGTGAAGGAGGCGGGTTCCGGGGGACCCTGAGGGTGGAGCTGGGGCCAGCAGAGAAGTGTGTTTGCACTAGAACAGGGTAGAAAGAGGCGGGGCTCAGATCTGGCAGCCCGATCAGGGGAGGACCTCTGCCACTTACTGGCTGCCTGGCCTTGGCCTGCTCAGCCCTCGGGAGCTGCACTTGCCCTGTCTTTAGGTGGAGAAAACCCCACCTCGTCCAGGGCTGTTGAGGGTTTAATTAAATGACACACGAGAAGTGCCTGGCAGCAGGCCCCAGTGAGAATTGTGTAGGGATGGCCCGAGAACCATGGGGAGGGCAGGGAGCCTGGGGCTTTCGGGCCTGATGGGTGTGGTCGGGCCTGGCCTTGTGCCCTGTGGGTCTTTAGAATGGTCTATTTGCAGGTCTGTGGTCTTTCTTTTTACCCACTTACCATCCTGACTGTAATTCAGAATCCTGGCAGCAGTCTGGCTGCCGCGGGGCCCAGCAGTATGCACATGCATTGACATTTGGAACAGACATGGGTGTCGAATTATCGCCAGTTCCTGTGACTTTTGATCCTCTGGCGCTCAGTGAAAGGTCCCCCCTCCCCCCCCCGCCCCGTCCTGCTTCGGCTCCAGGCGAACCAGCCTTGCCTGCCTCTTGGTGGCCTTCCAGAGGGTCTGCGTGAGGACTCTGTGAGGCCTGTCCCCCGCCCCAGAATGTTACACAGATGGCCACAGCATACCCATCATTACATAGCAAGGCCTCATGCTTTGTATAATGGCTGCGTACCTATTCACGGAGCCGATGTAGCATAACGTCCCCATCGTCACTTCTGCATTTCAACAATAGCCACAATGTCAGTAACAGACTGCAGAGGTAGGTAGGTCCCCACCCTTTAAGCTGAGCCCCTGGGTTGGTGAGGGGCACGCACTTGCCGAGAAAGCCCAGGCCGGCTCACCCAGGCTCTGACATCTGACCCTATCCAGGCTGGATCCTGGAGTGGCGCTGGCTGGCTGTGCTGGGCTGTGTGCCCCCCTCCTTCATGCTGCTGCTCATGTGCTGCATGCCCGAGACCCCGCGCTTCCTGCTGACTCAGCACAGGCGCCAGGAAGCCCTGGCTGCCGTGCGGTTCCTGTGGGGCTCTGAGCAGGGCTGGGAAGAGCCCCCTGTCGGGGCTGAGCACCAGGTGAGGGGCTGGGAGCTGGGGGAAGGGGTCAGGGAGGTATCACCCCTTTGCAGCCAGGGAGCCAGCACAAGCCGTTCTCAAGGATGTAACTGCATGCATGCGCGCGCACTCACACACACATGCACACACACACACACACACACACACACACACACACGGGGCCAGTGTTGTCCTGTGTGCCAGCAAGCAAAGGCCTGCGCAAGCCCCGCTCCTTGGCAGGCCCAAGCCTTGGTCTCACTGAAGAGAAAGGCCCGGCCGGGTCCCAGGGACACGCAGGGCAGACTTGAGGACTTGGTTTTTACGTGGGGGGCTGTAGGGCAGGGGCTGAAATCGAGTCTCTGCCCCTTACCTGCCGGGTGACTCCCATGGTCAGGCCTTCGTTACTTCATGTAGAACAGGAGCCAGCACGTGCTGCTGCGGAGCCAGCGGTGACGAGGACTCGGGCCCGGCCCGAGGCTGTGGGATTCTGGAGCCCCTGGCCCTCTGCCCGTGTGCTGTCTCTGTGGGCCGCCCCCCCAACAAATCAGGAAGGGATGTCCGGAGTGAGGACCTTCCACCTTACAAACGGGGAGGCCGCAGTGACGCGGAGAGGGACCCGGAGAAGCTGAGGCTCCCTCCTTGGAGCAGGGCGCCCGGGCAGAGGGCAGAGCAGCACTGACGCCCCTTCCGTCCAGCAGGGCTTACAGCTGGCCCAGCTGAGGCGGCCCGGCATCTACAAGCCCTTCGCCATCGGCATCTCACTCATGGTCTTCCAGCAGCTGTCGGGGATCAACGCTGTCATGTTCTACGCAGAGACTATCTTTGAGGAGGCCAAGTTCAAGGTAAAGAGGCCTCTGCCTCATGCCGATGCCACTCGGGTGTGGCCTTTCCCCGGGCCTCTGCCTGACCCGCCTCTGCCCATCTCCCCAGAACAGCAGCCTGGCCTCCGTCATCGTGGGCGTCATCCAGGTGCTGTTCACGGCCGGGGCGGCGCTGGTCATGGACAGAGCCGGGCGGCGGCTGCTCCTGGCCTTGTCAGGTGAGGCCCGAGGGCTCAGCCCCGTGTGCGAGTGGGGACCCCGGCCAGGCTCCCAGTGCAGGTTGGGGGGTCTGTGCCAAGGCCACTGTGTTGTGGGAGGAGGAGGACAAGTGTCCCTGAGAACAAGACAGATTTAACGGGAGCGCTCGCTGCAGGCCAGGCCCGTGCTCACCGCGTCACCACCTCACGCCGTAACCTTGCAATGAACCTGCAAGGAAGGTGCCACTGGGCCCCAGCCGACAATGAGGAAACGGAGGGCCCTGGAGGGGAAGTGACTTGACCTCTCTGAACCTCGGTTTCCCTCTGAAATGGGGGTAACGGGGCCATGGGGAGGCTCGGGAGCCCCTCGGCGTGCTGAGTGGTGCTGCTCAGTCAGGGCTCTGGGGTACTGCTCACTGCCCCGCCGAGGTGCCCAGGCCACTTGGCTGTGGCCACACCGGGCTGAGACTCCTGCCACGGGAGCCACATGCCCAGGCTCCAGGCCGCTTCCCCCAGCGCCCTGCCCAGCGCCGCCCTCCCCGCAGGTGTGGTCATGGTGTTCAGCACCAGTGCCTTTGGCACCTACTTCAAGCTGACGCAGGGTAGCCCCAGCAACTCCTCGCACGTCGACCTCCTGGCGCCCGTCTCCGTGGAGCCCGCCAACCCCGGTGTAGGGCTGGCCTGGCTGGCGGTGGGCAGCATGTGCCTCTTCATTGCTGGTGAGAGGGGGCCTGTGGGGAGGTTGGGTGGGGACTGATGGGGACGCCCTGTCACTGCTGCATTCAGTGGCTCCCAGCAAGCCCAGGCCTCCCTGGTCTCACCTGTCCATAGCGGTCCCAAGTCTGCGTTTATAGCTCTGGCCACGCGCCCAGCACCAAGCTCAGCCCTTCTCCTCTCAATCCCCCCGTCAGCGCACTGAGTGGGCCCCATTGTTATCCCGAGTGTAAGAAGCAGAGGGCCTGGCCACCGACCTCACAACGGGGAGGCACAGAGGGGGAGCCCAGCCTGGCACCCAGGCCCCTCAGCCCATGTGGGCAGCCCAGCCAGGCGTCAGCCCCGGGGTCTGCGGGGGGCCGAGGGTTCTGGTCTCTGTGGTGCTGACACCTGTCTTGTTCCCGAGGCTTCGCTGTGGGCTGGGGCCCCATCCCCTGGCTCCTCATGTCGGAGATCTTCCCCCTGCACGTCAAGGGCGTGGCCACCGGCGTCTGTGTCCTCACCAACTGGCTCATGGCCTTTCTGGTGACAAAAGAGTTCAGCAGCCTCATGGTGAGTCCAGGCCCCGGCAGCCTCCCCTCCCGTCAGCAGAGAAGTGCTTGTAGATTGTTCTCTTCGCAAAAGACTCAGAGTCAATGAATGGCCTTGTGTGCAGGCTGCCCACCCCCATCCGGGGCACCAGCTGTCTGGGTCGGGGTGAGGGGAACTCAGGCCGGACCACTCAGGAGCCTTCGGGCGGTCTTGGTGGAGGACGGCAGGGCGGGCCTCCCCCCGGACAGTGAGGACCCAGGGCGGGAAGTCGGGCTCTGTGGGGAAGTTCTGGCTCCAGCGCTGCCTGGCACTTCCCCGCTGTGACCGTGGTGTGCTGCTTACCTCCTCCGAACCAGCTTCCTTGGCGGAACATGGAGGAGGTGCCATACCTTCCTCTGGGGTTGATGGGAGCATCAGTTCAGTTCAACATTTTGCTCCCTTTTCATGGATAGACTTGACAGACACGGCCCTGCCTAAGGGGCTTCCCAGCCAATGGGGGGATGGTGTTGGAGCAGATGGACAAGCATTTGCTCAGTCATTTGCCACCCAGCCCCCAGGTCTCCTGGTACATACCACCTCCAGGTTGTTCATGGTGCCAGAGACAGCAAGGAATGAGATGGGCAGGGTCGCTTTGCTTAGGGCTGGGACAGCAGTGGACGGTGGTGGGAGGATAAACCAGGGGGATGGGCTGGGGTCTGTCCAGGGAGGGGGCCCATCAGGCAGCTGCCCCAGGGAGGGACTGCTGGGAGGACAGGCTGTGGTTCTGGGCTGGGAGGACGGACAGGCTCTGATCAAAGGGAACTGCTGTCTTCCCTGCCTGGGCCCTGAGTGCCTGTGTGTTCATACTGCCCATCTCGCCTGCTGTTCACGCACCCATTCCCTCTGGTACCTCAGAGGGCAGGGCCAAAGCCAAGTGTACAGGGAAGGTCTGTGGGCTCTGGAGCCAGACCCCGGGGGGAGAACCCAGCTGTCACTGGGTAGTGCCTCTCTGACCTGGGGCAGCCACTTCATCACAGTGAGCCTCAGTTTCCCCAGCACACAACGTCCATCCCATGGGCAGTGCTCAGCCTCCTCCACTGCCCCGCGCCCGGGCAGCGCAGGCGGGTGGTCACGTGAGGGCTGCTGCCTCCTCCAGTCGCTGGCTCTTCCCCTCTCTCTGCAGGAGGTGCTCAGGCCCTACGGTGCTTTCTGGCTCGCCTCTGCCTTCTGCGTCGGCGGTGTCCTTTTCACTGTGTTCTGTGTCCCTGAAACCAAAGGAAAGACTTTGGAGCAAATCACAGCCCATTTTGAGGGGCGATGACAGTCCCTTCCCAGGAGCGGCTGCCCTCCCAGCTGGGACAGTTTGGGTTTCGGAGGGGACAGAAGCCTGCCTGTGATTCGAGCTGGGCCTCAGCCAGAGCCCAGAGCCCCTGCCAGCCCCCAGGGAGCCAGGATCCAGGCCCTCGCCCTCCAGGTCCCTCCCTCCTGCTCAGTTCCCTACAGCCCCACGAGCCATGGGCATGAGGCTCCCAGTCCCTGGGTCCAGTTCCCACCGTTGCTCTGAGACTGAGGAGGAGGGGACGTCTCGGAGGGTCTTCAGTGCCCTGTGGCAGGCCGCCATGTGCCCTCCCTGTCGTGATACGAAGTGACAGTGGAGGAGGGGACTCTTGGTTCCTCACTTTCTGGAGGAGGTGCTTTTGGAGGCTGGGGTGGTGGCCCTTGGTCTCCTCACAGGAATGCATTTGTTGCCAAATAAAGACTTGACTCAGAAAGTCAGGTCCCGGCCTCTCTGAGCTGCAGTTGAGGAGGGCAGCTTCCTGTCCCATAAACCGGCCTCTGAGAACCTTTGTGGGTTTACTTCCCATCCCATAATCCGCTGTACTCACTTCCCTGGTGTGCAGCCCCTGTGTGCACCCACCTTGGCACCATCTATTAAGCTATAACGAGGCTGAGAGCTGGGCATTGGTTCAGGGCAGAGTGGTGGGGAGAACAGGACGGGACCCCAGGGTTGGTTTCTGGGAGGTCCTGCAGCAGCTCTCTGATGGCAGTAAAATGGGCCAAGTAACACGCATGAAAGCTCTCAGCTTTAGCAAAGTCCAAATTCCTGGGGCCTTCCAGAAGCAAGGTCATGTCCAAGTGTAGGCTCATCTTCTGTGTGGACAACTGCACATCGACACTGTTGTTAGTGCTGCACGTGGCCACTGGCTGGGCTGAGAACCGCACTGTCATGTCAGCGAGTGTCCTGCAAATGCCAACTTGTTTAGCGTGGATCGGGTCTCTGGCATCCTGACCGATTTTCTGTCCGCTTGTTGCACACGTGGCCAGTTCTCCTGCAGCTCTCCTGGGGTTGATTCAAGCTATTGTTTGTCCTGCACCCCAGAAGGTTATACGCCAGCTGTGTCTGACAGGGGCCTACTCCCTACCGTCTCAGAATCTGTTCTCAGTGAGTCAGCACCAAAGACAACTCAGTCTAACAGGCCACCCACTCTCAGCCACCTCACAGAAGACAGGTCTTTGCACTGGAAACTTCTTCACGTGAAACTTAAGCAGAGGCTGCTTCCAGCTCCTGCTTGGCCATCCCTAGCCTCTGCACATGGGGATTGGCAAAGGACCAGAGAGAAGGCAGGGGATGGCTCACACACCTCCCTCCCCCAGGCTGCAAGGGAGATGGTTAAACTTGTGGGCAAGAAAACCTGTGGCTTCAGTCCTACTGTGGTCTCTTTCCTCTTTAATCCAGGGGCCAGGAGCCATGGCAGCGTGGTAAGAGCCGGTGGACTTGGTTCCAGTTCTAGTTGCACTACTCACTATGTGACCCGGACAAGTCACAACCTCCAGGTCTCAGTTTATTCATCTGTAAAATGGGCATAATGATGCTGTCTCCCTCACAGGATTGTTGTGAGGATGAAAGGAAAAAATCATGTCAAGCACTTAGAACTGAGGATGTCATAGAATAAGTTTGTTGCTGTTAGCTGGTGGTGGTGATGAGGCTGTGGTGGAGCAAAGCTGGTGTGATGTCCAAGGTGTGCCTCTGAAAGAGACATGTGAAATATTTCCACATTTTTCTCTTTATATCCTATTTCCTACCCAGCTCCCTCAGCAACTCCTACCCATACCACCTTCTGATTGCTACCAGTACCCACTTATAGGTACCAAGGACGGTGGACACACGTGCTCTTCAGAGGTCCCCTGAGACTGCCTTGGGGCCTTCCCCTCGGGGCACAAGATGGGAAGAACCAGCCCCAGCTGGCAATCCAGTATCAGCCCAGCCCAGCCCAGCCCAGCACTGTCAGACACAGGACCATAGGGAAGAGGAGCAGGATAAAGCATTGCCACAGGACAGGTCCAGCAGAAGCTGTGCTCTACCCAGCCCACATAAGACAGGTCTCTGTACTGGATACGGTAGAAATCTGCACTGCCTACCAAGAGTCACTCCATCTCCATCTCCATCTCATCCCGCTCCCCATCCCCTCACCCCAACTCTTCCAGAAGAATGCTGGCTTCTGGGAACCTAAAACAAGGCTTCTGGGTCCTAACGCCGCCCAGTGGCCACATGCGGAATTGCATCAATTGAAGCCTGAAGCGCTCTGCTTCCTCCCAGGGGCCATGGGTAAGAAACCCTCTGCTACCACCTAGTGGCCAGTGTGGGGTTAGCACCTGTTCGGCCTGTGGCTGCAGGCAGCACCGCACCAACTGGAAGGAGTCAAAAATCAAGGAGTGTCCACAGCCCTGGAAGCTGGAAGAGGCAAGGAAACAGATTCTCCCCTAGAGCCTCTGGAAGGCATGTAACCGTGCCAACACCTTGATTTTACCCCAGTGATACCCATCTCCGACTTCTGACCTCCAAAGTCGTAAGCCCCAAATTTCAGAAGCCGAAAGTGGAAATGGGCTTATCTCAAAGGGATCTGTGAGCGTGACTTGCCTAATGGAGTTAATCCAGTAAGATTCATACAGGACTCACTAAGTTAAGAGGGTTATATTGGCAAAAACGCTACCAGCTGTGACTGAAAGGGGCCGAGACCGTACAACGTAAGAGGCCTTAGGACCCCTACACTCATTCCCGCTTCCCAGGTAACGCATTCCCGTCTTATTGTCAAAATGCCTCTAAAATTGAATTGAGTTATCGGGAAGTTGCTTGGGTGGTGAAGAATTTTCATCAATGCTCTGAGGAAGTCCATTGAAATATCCCCTGACGCAGCAGAGAATCCTCCAACGGACAGAAAGTTCAGGAATCTCCTTTTGCAACAGTGCTGATCAAACACTATCAAAGTGTGTTTTTGACCCTGAAATTACTGAAGCGGTTCCCTCCTGCCGATTGATTTTATACTTTGAGAATGCCAGGCCACCAACCGGTGGCAGCCCTGTTCACACTGAGAAGCTCAAGAGGAGTGTGAAGGTGTCGAGCTGGGCCTGAGTTGAAGGTCCGGGAAGGAGAAAACCTTCTTCACCTGCTACTCTGGGAACGCGACCAACTGAAAAATCAGGAGCCAAGAACCAGTGTAGATCTGTTGTCTGCGCTAAAACTACAACTCCCATGATCCTTAGCGCCAAGTCCCTTCCTGTCTCAGAGGCTCCAGGCGTTGGATTCCGGTGGACCTGAAGAGCTTGTGCGACATAGCATGATGGGAAATAGATTCTGGGAGCGAGAACTGGCGGAAGCCTCTCTAGGAAGCACGATCCAGGAGCGTGCGCGGATCACAAAGCTGGCACGGAGAGAACAGGCTTTGACTAGGAAGAGAGCACGGAGATTTCTAGGGAAAAGAAGCGAGAGGCGCTGGAAGGCAAGTGCGCATGACCGGAAGTGATGCTGTTTTCGCGCGTCCTCTGGCGCGAGAAGAGGACGTGACGTTTGGCAGGACCCGAAGCCGGTTTCTCAGTTAGAGCGGTACCCGGTTACCTGCCTGCGGTATTTTCCCGCGGTGTTTTGTTTGAGACTGAGTCGTTGGCTGCGCCTCGGGCTCCCCAGCCGAGGCCTGGCTGTGGCTGGGAGACAGTGAAAGACCCAGCTGGACAGCCCCCGCCCGAGCTCCCGGAGCCCAGCACCGCAGGCTCAGACCCGGCCTCGGGGGAAGGCGGGAGAGAGGAATCCGCGGGCAGAGCAGGGAAGCGACGCTGGCGCCCGGAGAACTGCTGGGAGGCGGTGTCGCGTGGTGATACCCGAATGCTGGAGGAAGGTGAGTGGGCTGAGGCAACGGTTTGCAGGCCAGCCTGTCCCAGCGTGCCCGTTATTGCTGCTGTGCGACGCGGTCCCCGAACCCCGCGGTTGTCCTTCCCACTTAGGGACGATCTTCTAATAAAGAATTCTGAGGTCAAAAAAGTTTGAGGAGCTCAGCCCCGGATAATCTCTGAGTACCCAACCCCTCACCCTGGGACGTACTCGGGGTCTCCTCCATTGCTGCTGATCTCCCAGCTATTGAAGCAGCCAAGCATCCTTGGAACAGGAGCCTATTGACTCCACCTGAGATGAGGGCGGGTTGAACCCAGCTGATCGTAAAATTGTGGAAGGTACTGGGGATTTGGAATCAGAAGTCCTGTTTAACCTGTGTTTCTTTATGGAGGAAAGGGTAAAATAACATTGAGTACCTCGATTACCAGTAAGAACTGTAAGCGTCAAATAAAATAGCACTGCTAACGCCTTGCAGAACAGAACAAATGTGCATTAAATTTCATCTTTACCACCCAGGCTTGTGCCATCCTCCCCTAAATCAAGGAGCCCCTGTATTCGTCAGTAACTCTTCAAGTCCAATTTGACAACCAGCATTTCGTGCTGTCTTCCCCAGAGACCTGAGAACGTAAGCAGCAGGTTATCATCCTCTCCGAAGAGAAAAATAAGATACAGTGGAGTTAGGTGAAACTCAGTAACTTAAGACCTTTTTCTTTCTTTTTCTGAGGACTATACTACCTCTTCTATTTTTTAACTGAAATATAATTCACATACTATATTCACTTTTAAAGTATACAGTTCAGTGGCTTTTAGTATATTTGCAAAGTTGCAAAACCATCACCACCACTATTTAGTTCTGAAACATTTCATCACCCTAAAAAGAAACCCATACCCATTAACCACTCCTTCCCCCTCCTCTAGTCCCTGGCAACCACTGTATGGATTTGCCCATTTTGGACGTTTCATAAAAATAGAATCATACAGTATGTGTCTGATTTCTGTCACTTAGGGTAATTTTGTAACATGAATGCATCTCATTCCTTTTTATGGCTGAATAATATTCCATTATATGGATGTACCACATTTTATCTGTCCCTGGGCTGATGGATGTTGGGTGGTTTCCAGTTTGGGCTATTATGAATAACTAGATGCCCTGTGCATGGATTTGTGCACATTGAAAGGAAATTAATTAAAAGGTGGCTGGTGGGGCGGGACTGGGTGAGACCGGCGGACATGCCTTAGAGCCAACCTCCCGAGGTCCCTCCCCGGCCAGCCACACCTGGTGTGGCGATGCAGCTCAAAGGGCGTCTGTGGAGTGAGTTGGGGTCCCTCTAGCAGGTGGGGTCCCTCAGCCTGGCCTGCGGGGATGGGGCCAAAACAGGCTCTCTGACATCCCGAGGGGTCCCAGATTGCAAGAGGGCGGTTCTCCAGTGATGCACCCTAGAATTGGGCTCCCTCATCCCTGGTTCCAGGTGCATCACCCAAGAACCACAGATGCCAAGTCACCACAGTGTGGCAGCTCCTGCATTGAGCATCTGCCCTCTGGTGGTCATTGTGTGTCATAGCTACTGGTCGGACAGTTGCTTAGGCTTTTATGTATATAGATAATGCTGTGAACATGTGTGCAAAAGTTTTTGTGTGGACACGTTTTCATTGTTCTCAGGTCTATGCCTGGAAAAGGAATTGCTGTGTGGTATAGCTTTCTAAGGAGCTGCCGAACTGTTTTCCACCGGGGCTGCACCATTTTACATTCCCAGTAGCAATGTGTGAATGTTTGTTTCTCCCTACATCAACGCTTGTTTTCCACCTGTAAATTTTAGCCATCTGGTGTGCCAAGTGGTACCTCATTGTGCTTTAATATGCATTTCTCCAACGAGTAGTTATGTTGAACATCTTTTCATGTACTTTTTGGCTATTAGTATATCTCCCTTAGAGAAATATACAAATCCACTGCTCATTTTGAAATTGAGTTTTTTGTTTATATATTTTTTTAAAAATGTATATTTTATTGATTTTTTTACAGAGAGGAAGGGAGAGGGAGAGTTAGAAACATCGATCAGCTGCCTCCTGCACACCCCCTACCAGGGATGTGCCTGCATCCAAGGCACATGCCCTTGGCCGGAATCTAACCTGGGACCATTCAGTCCGCAGGCTGATGCTCTATCCACTGAGCCAAACCGGTTAGGGCTGTTTATATATTCTTTATGTATTCTGGATACTGGACCCTTAAATTTATGATTTTGCACATATTTTTCCCCATTCTGTGGTTATCTTTTTGACGTTTTTTAAAAATATATGTTTTTATTGATTTCAGAGAGAAAAACATCAATGAGAGAGAATCATTGATTGGCTGCCTCTTGCACGCCCCACACTGGGGATCAATCCCGCAACCCAGGCATGTGCCCGTGACCAGAATCAAACCTGAGACTCTTCTGTCCACAGGTTGACGCTCTATCCACTGAGCCAAACCAGCTAGGGGTCTTTTCACATTTTTTATAGTGTCCTTTGAAGCACGAAGTTTTTAATTTTGATGAAATCCAATTTATTTTTTTCTTTTGTTGCTTGTGCTTTTGGTGCCATATCTAGGAAACTATATTTTCTTCTAGGACTTTTAGCTTTCACATTAGGTCTTTGATCCATTTTGAGTTCATTAGCAGTACAAGGTAGGGGTCTAATTTCATTCTTTTATTGATTTTCAGAGGGAGGAACATCCATTTGTTGTTCCACTTATTCATTCATTGGTTGATTCTCATATGTGCCCTGACCAGGAGTCAAATTTGCAATCTTGGCATATTGAGATGATGCTCTAACCCAGCAGTTGCCAACCAGTCCAAAAGGTTGGTGGCTGCTGCTCTAACCAACTGAGCTTCTCAGTCAGGGCCTCGAACTTCATTTTTATGTGGATGTCCAGTTGCCCCAGCACCATTTTTTTTTGAAAAGAATATTTTCCCCACTTAATTTCTTAGTACTCTTGTTGAAAATCAATTGTTTATACAATGTGCTTATTTCTGGACTCAGTTCTTTTCTATTGATACACTGTATGTCTGCCCTTGTACCAGTACAGCACTATTTTGATTACTGTTTTGTATAAAGTTTTGATATTGCAAACTAGTCCTTCAACTTAGTTCATTTTCCAGATTTACTATTCTGGGTCTCTTGCATTTCCATGAAATTTTGGGTTAGTTTTCTGTAAAAGAGCCAGCTAGGATTTTGACAGGGATTGCACCAACTCAACAATGGTTTTTAGTGTACATGCCTACACTTCCTGTTTTTATTACTAGGCATTTCATCCTTTTAATACTCTTCGAATTGCTTTAAATTTCATCTTTTGATTGTTCATTGCTAATACCTAGAAATACACCTGGAGAAATAGCTATTCAAATCTTTTGCCCATTTTAAAGCGGTTGTCCCTTTACTGTATATTATCTTGTATCCTGCAACCTTGAACTTACCTGTGATAGCTTGTGGATTCCTGAAGACTTTATGTATAAAAAATCATGAAGTTTTAATCCCTTTCCAATCTGGATACCTTTTTCTTTTCCCTTGCCTAAGTGGCCTGGCTAGAACTTCCCGTAAAATACTGAATAGAAGTGGCAAGGCAGACATCTTAAAGCATCTCAAATGCAATTAGTTCTCTTCTGTTCCTAGTTTATCATAAAATGGTGTCATATTTTGTAATATCTTTTCGGTTTTTAGATCATGTGGGAGTTTTTCTTTGTATTAATATGGTATATTATGTAGACTGAACCAACCTGTGTTCTTAGTATGAATCTCACTTGGTCATTTCCCTTTGATTAGGCAAATTTGCAGAGGCACTTTCTCCAAAGAATAGGACATTTGTAAACTATATACTTATTTGCTAGGCACTGTACCAACTGCTTTATCTGCATTTTCCTTTAAATTTTCAAAGCAACAACTTTACAAGGTATTTATCCCCACTTTACAGATGAGAAAAATGAGATTTATGAGGTTCTGTGATTTGCACACTGCCGGTAGTGGTGAATAGGGGATACTAGACTCTGCTACACTCTAGTGCAGAGGTGGGGAGCCTTTTTTCTGCCAAGGGTCATTTGTAATTTGACATCCCCAGGCCATACAAAATTATCAGCTTAAAAAAGGGAAATTTATACCCCACTGCGGGTCTGTGAATTCAGCCCGTGACCTGACACTTTTGAACCCACTCTTCAGAGTGAGAATGTGACTTCCTAGCTTGGTGAGCTAAACTTTTATGCCTCATTTGTTTCTTTTCTTCCAGAATCATGATCTCCAGACCCTAACCTTTCCCAAGAGGAAAGCACGGGAGAGGAAGGAATGGGAATGGTGACTAGTCTCCTCACAGCAGGGCCACATGTAAGTTGGAAATTTACTCAAAAACAGCCTTGTATTAAGGGGGGTTTTGTTATTAATTACAAAAGAAATACATATTCATTGTAGAAAACCTGGGACACACAATGGGTGATACTTAGGAGGAAGAATGAATAGGCACTTGGATTTGTGGTGAAGGATAACACCAGGTTTCTGGGCGGCCAACTAGGTGAATGGAGGCACCGTTCTCAGAGCTGAAAATATACCTTCTTGCCTCTGTGGCTTTCCCCTGCCTTAGATAATTATCCTTCTCTTGCTCCTTCTGAGGAATTTCTCTAAGGCTAGCATGTTGATTGCCTCCTCCCAGCCTCCACCCAGGATTCCTCTTCGATCATCTTACATGCTGCTCTGTCCGTCTCCGACACATTACAGGACATTGCATGTGCTTGGCTCTCCTGTATCGTGTCATGTCTGAGTTCACAGAAATACCTATTGAATGTTCTTAAAACATTAAGCTTTCACATGTTTGCCAATTTACACCTGGTGGCTCATTGGGCAAACTGATTGTAATTTTGGTTTTCCTATATTGCTGTTAATCCCAAGCAGCTGTTACTTTCTGTCCAATTACTGTTCATGCATACACACGTCGTTTCTTCATAAGGAAAAGCTACCAGAATTGTAAATGTATCAGCAAGAGACTTTTATTTTTGTGTCAATATCCAATACTGTTAAGCACATAGTAAGTGCTTTTCTGGAACTCAAAGCCCTGAATCCTTCCCAAGACCCTCTCCAGGCCTGCTAGCCATCTCACCCGTAGCTGCCCACCTCCCTCACCACACATCCAAAGGTTACTGGGCAAGAAATGTGCTTGTTGTTTCAGGGATCCACGCCCTTCAGCAGTGTGACTGCAGCTTTTCCTCACAAAGAGTGGAGGCACTTGGTCCGAGCTCCAAGGGAAGGAGATACCAGAGAAGTCCAGGAACCTGGTCCTACTGGGTAAGGAAACCATTGGGCATCCTCTGCTCAGTCTGAGAGCCTGTGGCCCTTTCCAGTGTTGAGTGGTCCCGAATGGCTCCGACACCCTGGAGGGAGTGTTCAGTCTCCCTCGTTCCCTAGGAAGTCTCTGCATTCTTGCTGGGGGATGGGCATTTTCGTTTGCTCCCTGGGGTTACATCTCACCATTCCCCCCCTAGGACTAGGGCTGGGGTAACCCTCAGGTTAGTTTTCTCTAGTCAGTAGTTTCACATCTTCCCAAGTAGCTTGCTTTATGAGCTTAGCTTAAATCCTCAGCTTGACCCCCTTCTTGAGGCTGTTCATGTAGTTCCTTCCAGAAACGCTTTTACCAAGACATCAGCACCACACCATGTCTGTCTGTCTTACTGCTGTATCCCGTAGTGCACAGCACAAGTGCATGCTCAATATGTATTTGTTGCATGAATGGAATTAATGGCCTAACTGGCCTTTTCCATTCCCCTGAATGCTAGGTGGCTATTAGGACAGGTCTCTAAAGCCCAGTTTCCCAGCCTGGTATGAACTCCCATTTAGAACAAGGGTAAAGCCCATGGATGCTGGAGGGAGAAGGCCTAAGGAGTACCTGTCCAGGTAAGGGAACAAGCACTAAGCCAGTGAGTCTTGGGAGCAAAAGCCCCTTTGAAACCCACATTAATGCATTTGGTAAGGGAATAGTAACTGGGGGTACAAAGGTGAGGGTGCGGGCTATCTTAGATCAGATGAATAGGCATGAACTCCCAGTTAGAACAAGGGAAAAGTCCATGGAACAGTGGGGGAAAAAAAATAGGTTCTAAGGACACCTAGACTATACAGGAAGGAAATCCATTTACTGACCCCAGAGCATGTGCCAAATGGGAGGGGAACTGCATGTTGCCCTCCCAGCCCCCTGGATAACTGGCAAGAAGTGCAATTCAGGCCGTGTAGCCCAAGTGCACACCAGGACCGAGGCCCAAAATAGCTCCATGGCTTGTGTCCAAAATTTCCTACAGCCTGTAACTGCTCCAATTACAGCTCACCCGAGGCTCCCCGCAGCCTGCTTCCTCTTCCAGCTGCCCTTCCAAGGTGGTCCTGGCGTGGCTCACACCTACTCCAACAGCAGCTCTGGGCTCTGAAGTGGCTTCACCTCTGGACTCCTCACAGCCTGATTCCACTCACACGTCTGCCAAGATGGTCCTAGCACAGCTTGCCCCTGGGACTTGTGGCTTACACCCGCCACAACTAAAGCTCCAGGCCCCATTGTGACTTTCCCTGGACTCCGCAGCCTGAGCCCCTCCAACTGGCCTGCCAAGGCACGTCAGAGCACCTGTCCTCAGGACGCCTGCAGCTCTTACACAGGCCACTCCAGAAGGTGCTGTTTTGCCTAATTCATAGAAACAGCCAAATGAGACAGAGAAATATGTCCCAAATGAAAGAACAGGACAAAAGCCCAGGAAAAGAAATGAGATGGAGACAAGTAATCTACCAAATAGAGTTCAAAACACTGGTTATAAGGATGTTTAGTGAACCCAGGAGAATAGATTAACTCAGCGAGAATCACAAAGAGGTAAGACATATAAAGCAACTAGTTACGTACAAAGGAGCCCCCATAAAACTATCAGCTACTTTTCAGAAATTTTGCAGGCCAAAAAGGAATGGTACAATATATTCAAAATAATGAAAGGGGGGGAAACCTGTAACCAACAATACTCTACCCATGTATCCTTTAGAATTGAAGGCTAGTTTCCTAGACAAGCAAAAGCTAAACCAGCACCAGAGATAAAAAGTTAAAGGGATTTTAGGTGGGAAAGAAAATTCCTTTAAACTAAAAGAAAATGTAAGGGTGACCTCAGCATTATGGCAGTGTGTGGAAACTCCTTTTTATCTCCCCTTACATCGGCAATCCAATAAAGCCTGAGATGTCCATGCATCTGAAAGGCAGGGGTATTGGAATGCATAGGGGAGGCAGGATTAGATGCAGTTCGGTGGCCCCACATAACACAGTAGCAAGGGAGGTGTTGGGGTGTGCCCCCACACTATGACCCTGCAAAAACAATATTGGTGGCCAAGAATCTGGCTCCCTTCCTCTCCCCCCACTTGCAGCAGAGCCAGGTAGCAGCAGTGATGGTGCCCATTAGGAACAAGAGGCAGCCCTGTGGGTGTGTGAACCCAGCTCCTGACCACCCACTCCATGGTGGTTGCGCCCAAGACTGAGGGGACCCAGACACAGTGGGGACTCCTATAATAACCCCTGAAGCACACACAGCACAAGAAAAAAAAACCTGAAAACTTAGCACTATGTCACCTTCTACTGATAAACAAAACAGAGCCTCTAATTATCAACCTATTGAATCTTTAAGATCAAAACAGTATCTAAACAAGGAAAGAATCCACTACCTCAAATGCACAGGCAGAGGAACGATCCCTTAAGTGCCATGAACAACCAGGGTAGCATGTAACTTCCAAGTGTCCAGAAACCAATCTGAAAGACATGGAAGACATATCGATTCCTGCCATGAAGAAACTCAACATACAAGAAAACTGGGAGGCAGTTCAGGCGAGGTCAGGATAAAATCAGTGAGCAAACGGAGTACTTTACCAGAAAGAACCAAACCAATTCTGCAGCTGAAGGACTGCCACTGAATGAGATGAGGAGCACACGAGGCTCCGGCCGATTCCTAGCCTGTGTCAAGCTTAGTGGAGCTTCTTCCCATACACATAAAGAAACAGAATTTCCGGAGGATGAGGCCCAGAAATCAGGATTTTAAAAAGATTCCCAGGTGATTCTAATGTGCAGCCCAGGTTGAGAACCACTGCCTTACACCAAACGGGTTGCGGACTGGATCCCGTGGGGCACATACAGGAGGCAGCTGAATGTGTCCCCTTTCCTCTCTAAAAATCAATGTACATATCCCTCAGGTGAGGATTATCAATAAAATACATAAAAAGCATTGGAAATACAATAAACCAGATGGAAGACAGAATTTGTGAAACTGAAAAAAATAACGAAAAATCTAGAATTGACAAGATCTTCACAAAACTAGGGAGAGAACTAGACAATCCAGTACAAGCAGCTAACAGGACATGAAATTACCTCTGCAAAAAGACCCCTAAGACGCATTAAAACTGTCAAAAGCTACTAACAGCCAGGCCACTGGGGCTCGGTTGGTTGTCATCCCATGAAGCAGTCACGGTTCATTTCCGGGTGAGGGGATGTGCAGGAGGCAGCGGATGAATGTTTCTAGCTCTCTCTCCCTCTCTTTCTCTGAAATCAATAAAAACATTTTTTTAGCCCTAACAGGTTTGGCTCAGTGGATAGAGCGTCAGCCTGCGGACTGAAAGGTTCCAGGTTTGATTCTGATCAAGGGCATGTACCTTGGTTGTGGGCACATCCCCCGCAGGGGGTGTGCAGAAGGCAGCCGATCGATGTTTCTCATCATGTTTCTAACTATCCCTCTCTTCCTCTCTGTAAAAAAAAAAATCAATAAAATATATATTTAAAAAAAAAACACTTTTTTGCCAAAACCGGTTTGGCTCAGTGGATAGAGCGTCGGCTTGCGGACTGAAGGGTCCCAGGTTCGATTCCGGTCAAGGGCATGTACCTGGGTTGCGGGCACATTCCCAGTGGGGGATGTGCAGGAGGCAGCTGATCGATGTTTCTCTCTCTCTATCTCTCCCTTCCTCTCTGTAAAAAATCAATAAAATATATTTTTTTAAAAAAACAACACTTTTTTAAAAAAGAAGTTAATGATAAAGAATTTTCAAGGAGGGGAAGGGGCAGGGGAACAGACAGCAACCACCAAAGGAAAACTTACCAGATTATCCTATTTCTCAGTAACCCCACAGGCCAGGTGAGTGGAATTATATATTCAAAACACTGAAACGAGGTTGCAGTGGTGGTATAGTAGTGAGCATAGCTGCCTTCTAAAACACTGAAACTACCAGCCAATACTAATCCAACAAAACTATCCATGATAGATGAGTAAAGATATAATACATACATACAATGGAATCTTACTCAGCCCTGAAAAATGAAACTTAGCTATTTGCAACAATATTAACAGACCTTTTCTAAAAAGTATTAAGTGAAAAAAGTCAGACAGAGGAAGACAAATACCATTTGCTTTCACCTATATGTGGAATCTAAAAAACAAAAAAAAAATGAACCAATGAAACAAACAGCACAAGCTCATGGTCAGAGGGGGGAGGGAGGTCAGTGTTGGGCAGAAAAAGGGAAGAATTCAGGAGTACAAACTTCCAGCTATAAAATAAGTCACAGTGATTTAAGTTACAGAAAAGAGACCAGAATCAATGTAACAACTATCGTGACAGATGGTTACTAGACTTACTGTGGTCACTTCCTAAGGCATAAAAATGTGCTGCACACCAATTTTAAAGAATCATTAACTTAAAAAATATCCATTCTAGTAAAAATGATGCAGGTTCAGTTAAATTTAGAAAAAGATCAAGATCCCCAATCCCATCACACAGAAGTCTTCATATCACAAAATTCAGTAATATGTAATTTTACATATTCCTTTTCTCACTTGTGTGTTTCTATCACTGCATATTCTCTGAAAGCAAGGTTTTTATGACTTATATTATTATACTATCTTGGACATTAGGAAATACAGATAAGCACTAGGAAAAATTGTCTGATCCCACAACCCGAAGACAATACAGCTTATACCCACATCTCTCAGGGCTTTTCTACCAAAGGAGTTAGTGCAGACTTCAAACATGACTTGCAATTGCTAATAGTGTCCCTTGGTTGGCTGTGCTATGGTCATCCCCTCATTATTCAACATTTAGATGTTTGCTTTTCATTTGACAGCTGTGTATTCTCAATGGTTCCTTAGGATAAACTCGAATAGAATTCTGCTATCAATATTTTCAAGACTCTTGGCATGTGCAACCATATTGTTTTCCAGAATGTTCCAATTTATGCAGCCCCACCAGTGTATGAGATATCGGGGTGCTAAATTCTTATCAACGCTAGGATTACACATTTTTTTAAATCTTAATTTTAAAAAGTGAAAAAATGTATGTTGCTGCACTGTTAGCAGCTTTTTATTTTGTTTGTTTTTGTTAATCCTCACCCGAGGCTATTTTTTTTTTTTAGGGAGAGTGGAAGAGAGAGGGAGACAGAAACATCAATGTGAGAGAAGCACATGGATTGGTTGCCTCCTGCACAAGCCCTGACCAGGGCCTGGGCTGGGGAGGAGCCTGCAACCAAGATATGAGCCCTTGACGGGAAGCGAACCCAGGACCCTTTGGTCCTCAGGTCAACACTATCCAGTGAACTAAACTGGCTAGGGCTGTTATCAGCTTTTTAACCCAGGTGAGCAGAATGCCCAAAACCACACAGAATTGAGACCAGGACAGAAGCCACTGGTCGTTATTCATGGTTTAGAACAGAAACAGAAACCACTAATGTTCTGGGTGAAAAGTGAAGCATCAAACCTGTCTGCACTCGAGTTCAGCCAAACTCCTCCAGCCTTTGTATGTCAGTATTCTCTTTTCTTCTACCGAAGGAATTTTTTAAATTGCCTTTCTACATCTTTTTCAGACTGGAAGACTGTGTCTGAATCACCACCAGAGCAAGACCTTTCTGAAGAATCATTCCAAAACACAAGGGTAGAGATACCTCCTGGGGAATCAGATCATAGGAGCTGTGGACAGGGGAAGAGCTTTAATCTGCGACCAGTCCTTTCTCCACAACAGAGCGCTCCTAAAGAAGTGAGACCCCATAAATGTGAAATACAAAGAGCCTCAGCAGGAATTCAGACATAATTAAATCTCACAGAGCAAAACCATACACATGTAATGAGTGTGGCAAAGCCTTCAGTTACTGTTCTTCCCTTTCACAGCATCAGAAGAGCCACACTGGGGAGAAGCCTTATGAGTGCAATGCATGTGGGAAGGCCTTCAGCCAGAGCTCATCTCTTACTCAGCACCAAAGGATTCACACTGGAGAGAAACCTTATAAATGCAGTGAGTGTGGAAGAGCCTTCAGCCAGAATGCAAACCTCACAAAACACCAACGCACTCACACTGGAGAAAAGCCCCACAGATGCACCGAGTGTGAGAAAGCCTTCAGTGACTGTTCAGCCCTTGTTCAGCATCAGAGAATTCACACTGGAGACACCCTACGAATGCAGCAACTGTGGGAAGGCCTTTCGTCACAGTGCCAACTCACAAACCACCAGAGGACTCACACAGGGGAGAAGCCCTACGGGTGCAGTGAGTGTGGGAAGGCCTTCAGTTACTGTGCAGCGTTTATACAGCATCAGAGGATCCATACAGGAGAGAAACCTTACAGATGCAACGCATGTGGGAAGGCCTTCAGCCAGAGAGCAAACCTCACAAACCACCAGAGGACTCACACTGGAGAGAAACCCTACAAGTGCGAGTGTGGGAAGGCCTTCAGCCAAAGTACAAATCTTATAATCCACCAAAAGACCCACACTGGGGAGAAGCCATAAAGCATTTAACCAGAGTTCATCCCCTAGTCAGCATCAGAGAATTCACACTGGTGTGAAACCCTACCAATGTAGGGAGGTGGGAAGGCTTTCAGGTGTAGTTCAGCTTTCATTAGCCACCAGAGACTCCATGCTAGAGAGTAACTGGCAACGTGACCAACGTGGATGGGGACCTGACGGTTTGAAAGCCTCTGGAAACACTTTTGCACCGTAATAAAGTGACTATTTCATGTGGAAGGTCTCAAGAGCTTTTTTTCTTTAATATAACCCAACTCAAATTACTAGTCACCTATATTCATGAGCCTAAGTGCTTTTTTGTGTACCAAGCACTCCAAGAAACCTTGGTTTATAAAGGTATGATCAAATCAGTGGAAGACCTGGTTCCTACTTAAACGCTAGGTATTTCAGCAATGGTTATCCCTCCTTGAATGACTTGTAAAAACCATAAGAACCAAGAATTCTAGCCAGGAAAGAGCATTTCTCTATAATGGGGTCAATAAAGTATCTGATTTGGGGAAGTAAATTCAAGTAGGAAAGATTCTGGGGCCACCACTTAATGCTACAATTTCACTGAGGGTAGATGAAGGATTCCTGCCTTAATGCTAAATATGTGAAAACCTACACACACACAGATGCACCGCAACACTGCTATACCCTATGTCCGCTTTATAACTGACCTAGTGCTGTTTGAGCTGTTAAGTCTTGGAAGGATAGAAGCTGAGGATGTCAGGAGGCTGTTACCAAAATCTCCCCATAAGGCACACCCTAACAGGGAGGGACGACCTGACGAAGCCATGCTCTCCCTGTGTCAGGGGCGGGTGGGCTATCCCTGCTTTCCCCACTAGAGGGCAGTTCCCTTTGCTTTTCCACTTTGCACTGACCTGGGTCCTACTGTTGACATTACACCAACTGGTGTGATCTCATCTCAGCAGTTACAAACCACTGTGTGCTTTCCCTGGTTTTTGGTTAGGAATGCGCTTGACTTCAGGGACAGATTTCCCAGTACTGGCCACCTGCTGCAAGGGAGGCCTGTGTCAACTATTCTCACCCCAAGCCTCTAGCTTTGATTCTTTGGGTGACTTGGCACATGTCCTAGAATACTTATTTTTCCCTCACCTTTCCACTAAAGATAGTGTGTTCTCCAACCCTGATTGCACCTGGGGTGACTAAGAACCCCCTACTAAAGGGCCTGTTGACAAAATTAACGGGAGAGCAAAGAAACAACTAATGGCAAAAAATGAAGCTCTTGGGTTAATCATTCCCAAGTGGAGTTTCAAGCTCCTCAACTGTGGCCTATCCCAGTGCCCAGGTGCCCATCCGCTGCGTGTCTAATGAAGGAAAAGTGAGTGATGAGCTCTAAGGATGATTTAGAGCAAACAGAGGGATGATGAAGAAAAAGGTGAAAACATAGATTATAATCTGTTGCTGGTTTAAAGCCAAGAGAATGTTAGGACTAGGCTGTAGCTCAACTTTAGAAGTATACTTGACCCTCACTTTCACATAATTAATCAAGGACACAGGTCAGGTTTCTTTGTTATCCAATCATTTAGCCCCAGCTGTGTACTGGAATGGATATAGAAGTCTTGAATTACAGGCCCTGGGCCCCACCCCCCCCAAATGATTTGGTCTAAGATGAAGAACATCACTCACGTAGTTATGCTGCACAAGTTTTCCTTCTGGCCAAGAACTATTTCTTATGAAGAGCTCTAGGAATGTCTACAAAAACCGCTGAGACTTCTTTTCTAGATGTCTTTCATGAGAGCTGGTGCCATCGAGAGCAGAAATCTGTTACTGGTAAGACAACAGATGCCCAGAATGGTGCTTCCACAGGTCCCCCACTTGGTCCCACTAACCACCTGACCACAAAGAACCTGGCTCCCCCAGGGAAAAGGCCACATCAAAAAGTCCATTGCTTGTCAAATGATCTTTAATTGAAACATTTTCCTTTGTAGTTCTTAACTCTGTAGGAAAGAAAAAAGAAATCCTATCAGTGATTGGAAAAAAATCTTCTCAACCCCACTACTGACCAATTCTAGAACTCTCCAGCTTTCACCCTGATTTTAAGCAAACAAAATACAGAAGTCACTTACAGCCGGACATTCCACTGCACCACTGTTGATATCGTCTATGATGTCATGAGGGTGGCGACCATCAACATTGCACCCCACAGACTGGGCAGTCCCCAAGATCTCTTTAATGGTTCCTATAATTAAGAAAAGGTGGCATTAGATGGGAACGCCAGCCCCTCGCAATCCACAGACACCACTGGGAAAATCCATTTGAGTTCCACAGCAGACAGAGTCACAAAATACCAGAAATAAACATGACTCCCCTACTTGAGAGCTCCCATTTACTTATGCAAGGCCTGAATGCCAAGTCTCCATGGGACCCTTGGTACCCAGATTAAATACACCTGGCCCAAAATCACCATGATCAAGCCACTTTTCAAACCCAGAAAAGACTACACCCCAAATTTTGGGTCTTACAGAATTAAGTCTCCTTTAAGTGGGAAAAAGGTACCACTCGGTGAATAGGCCCCATATCACTAGGTGGTTCCATGTTGTCCTGCTCTTACCAGAGAGTTCTCTAGCTAAAGATCGGTGACGCATCTGTCGGGCAATGCTGACAATCTCATCAAAAGTGATATTCCCACTGTGCTTAACTGCAGAAAAAGAAAACACAGCAAAAGCTCTGTCACAAGCCAAAGCCAGAGAGACCACATGTCCTCCCTCAGCCACTTCCTGGTTGTTCCCATACTTTCGGCACAGAGTCACCCACGTGAAGAATGACCCTGTTTCCTAAGCTGGGGTTTGCTTTCAGCTCACCACTGGAATGCACCAGCCAACAGAGAAGTGGTCAGGTGCAGTGGCGGGTGGCTAACGGCAAAATCAAATCTTTACCAATCTTAACATGTATGTGACTGTTTTAGAGATGAGGAAAGGCAAGCTTAAGTTACTGGTGTTAATCTATTCAGCGTCACCCAACTAAGAAGTGCTCTCTGAATTCATCCTTCTGTTGTTTCACCTTGGATGGCACTTCCCGATACCGCCTGGCTACCTAACAGCCTGCCACCAAATCCCCATGCCATCCCCAGGTCACGTTAAAAAGAAAGCATGCAGCTAAGTAGCAAGCATTGTGCAGACACCACCGCTCACAAACTAGTCAGAGAAAGGCCACTCACTGTTTTTTTGCTTCTTTCTGTCTCTTGGCGGTTCTTTGAGGGCTTTGATGATCAGGGCAGAGGCAGAAGGCACTACTTCGATCTAAGAAGAGATTCTCATTATGATTAAGCCCTACCCCAACCTCCAATGAAGACAATATTGCCACGAAACTCGGTTTCTTGGAGACTATGGGGCAGACACTGAACTTGTACTATCAAGTAATTTTCAAAATCCAAAACACGTCCTAGCCAAGGAGAATTAAGTGATTCGCCCATGTCACACAGTGATAAGAGTTACTATTTGAGCACGTCTTTGGCCTTGCTCTTTCCCCACACATAAAATTGCTAATGGTAGGTGGCCATGTCAGCAAAACCTTCCACCCAGGATTCCGAGGGTGGCTACCCCTGCCCACCCTCAAACCAAGTACCTGGGCCTGTCTGTTCTGAATGGTCAGTTTCACTGTAATCCTCAGACCCTTCCAATCACCGGTTGCTTTGGCGATGTCATCACCAACCTTTTTTGGAGACTGTAGAAATAAAGGTATGAAATCATATTGTGCCTTAAGTGTAAGTGTCCTGAAAACCTATCCAGTCTCCCTCACTTGCCAATACCCCAAATCTTCCTTACAGAGCACAGGAAACTGAGCACACACCTGCGCCTACCCAATCAAGGCAAGGCTCTCAGCATAGTATAAACTGGAAAAATTAAGCTAGGGGTGGTTTGTTCAGGGTTGTAAACTGCAGGCCAAGGGCCATAATGGGGCAAAATTACCTACCTAACCATAAGGACCTACGTGATAGCGTAGGGAGAAAATTTCCACACTAGTTACATTCAAATCATCTGGAGACCTTTCAAGTTATCAGGTTCCTGTGTCAGGCCCGCCCAAGTCAATCTGTGGGGATGGAAGTCTGGCATTTGCTACTTTAGAATTTCCTAGTGACCACGAGGAAACATGTCCCTAGTGCCAGCAGAGCTAAGGGCCAAGGAGACATTGGTTAATGTGCGCATATAAGCATAACCAATGGACACAGATGATGGGGGGGGGGGGTGAAGGCCAGGGCTGGGGGGCAGGACAGGCTGGAAGAGGACAATGGGGGGAAACGGGACATATGTAATACTTTCAACAATAAAGAATTAAAACAAGAAGACACTGGTTAAGCAAGACCAAGGTGGGACAACACTTGGGACTAGAGACCACTGTGCAAGGAACAAAGGTCTCATATTTTGGGAAATCCAACTTCAGTAAAATGGATAAGTAGGAAAATAAGACTGATCGTCAAGGAAAGCTGGCCACACTAACCAGTTGGTTTGGAACAGAATAGGAAACAGCTACTATAACGTTCACCAGAATCTTCACCCAACATCCCATTTAAGCCTCCACACAGTGAGATGCCCATTTCCCTCACCAGAAAACACAGGCTAAGCCCTCGCTGGTTTGGCTCAGTCAGCCTGTGGGCTAAAGGGTCCTGGGTTCCATTCGGGTCAAGGGCACGTGCCTGGGTTGTGGGCTCGATCCCCAGTGGGGGGCGTGCAGGAGGCAGCCGATCAATGATTCTCTCATCATTGATGTTTCTCTCTCCCTCTCCCTTCCTCTCTGAAATCAATAAAAATAAAGAAAACATAGGCTAAAAGTCACTAAGCCCGTCAACTTCAAAACCCTCCGTGGCCCTCCCGGCCGCTGCCTCAGTGGAGAAAGTGACCGCTTCGAGGCACTGGGCTCTAAGCGCACAGATAGAACCTTCCCACACACCTAGCGGCAATTCAGCGAGTCCGAGGTCTACGCGGGGATGGAAACCGGCCCTCGGGCACAGCTGTGTCTGACAAGCCGGAGCCCAACTGCTCCCGAGTAAGAAACGCCCCCTCCCCCCGCGAGGATGACTTACCAGGCCCAGGGGGCCGATCTTGGGGGCCAGGGCAGACGTGGCGCCCACTTCCCCGCCGGTGCACCGCAGGTAGACTGGGAGGGAAAGAACCGTAAGTGCTTCTGCAGAGCCCCGGCCACAGCCCTCTCCGCGTCGCTCCGGGCTGGCCACGCCACTCTGCCTCTTCTCCAAACACCGCCGAGAACCTCGGGGAGGAGCGAGGCGGGCCACCCCCTCCTTGGGCATGGACGGCCCCACGCGCCACGAGGACCAGCGGCTTTCGGCTCGGCCGCGGCTAACGAGGCCCACACCGGGCCGGCGTGGAGGCGACCGACCCAGTCGACGGGGGGAAGCGCCAGAGACAAACCTTACCCTAAAGCGCGCGGGCTGCAACGCCGCCGCAGGTGTTCCGGTCCTCCCGCCCCATTTTGCACGTGGGGAAGCCGAGGCCCAGAAAGAGTAAGAGGCTCGGCTAGGACTTCACGGCGCCCTGAACGCGGCACCGGAAAGGCCTCTAGTAGGCAGTAGCTTAAAAACGCGACGTGGTAAAGGTAGTAATTGCGGAGGGGCCGCAGGCCCGACGGGCTGCTGGGAGAAGGGATGCTTTCCCGCAGCCCCGGCCGCACCTAAAACACGCACCGACTTTGATTTCGTTGGGGTCGAACTTCGGCGGCATGGCGGAGGCAGCTGGTGTCGGATGAACCCGGATTCGGGACGACCGAAGAAAGTTGCACCTGAGCCTCCTCCGAGCCGAAAGCCGAAAGACCGGAAGGCCTTTCAGCTGCGCCGGATATAGGCCGGAAAGCGCAGCTCTCGCGAGAACTGCCCTCTCCGCCTGTCGCGAGAACCATCCTCTCCGCCCAGTATCCCAGCGACGCCTCTGCCGCCATGTTCCTTGTGGGCAGGCGCCAGAAGCTGATAAGTGGAGAACCTGGCACCGGGTAAGCTGTGACTGGGTGCTCGGAAGGGGGTTCAGGGCAATTCGCCCAAGGGAGGCAGACGAGAGAGGGCTGTTCCCAAGATCCCATTCCTCCTGTCCCCCATTCTCCCTTGTGATGAGGATCACCCCCTGGTCCCTGTCTCCCAATCCCGAGCTCCGCCCCTCCGGAGAGGTCCGCACACATTCCGGGACGCCAGGTCCACAGCGATCCCCGGGCCCCCTTTTAACTCCCTCGCGACGTGTGCATTTTAGTTATCAAAACAATTCCGTTCGCGTCCACATCCGTTCGGACTCTTAATTCCAAGATGCTGCGGTTCTCGGAGTCTCAAACTTCGTCATCCTGGTCTGCATGACTTTCTGAGATTCTGAGTTTCGGTCCCCAGCTCCGGCGTTTGGGGGAGACCAGTCTCCCGATTCACCGGGGCCCCTGCCAGGTGGTCTGCGGCCCAGCGTCCATGACCAAGCCCCACGAGTGATCGGCCTGCCCTCAGGTTCGCCCGCGGAACGAACGTCGGGACCTGTCCACCCACGAAGCCAGGTCGGGCACTCCCCGCTGCAGCCGGGGAAGATGGGTGTGGTTCCCCGATCTGGGCGGGACGTCGGGGGAGGGGATGGACGAGGGGTGGACGTCGGGGAGCAGGTTGGGAAGAGCGGATCTGGGAGGGAGGATTATTGGGGAGGAGGTGGTGAAAGGTTTGTCATTGGGGAGCATAAAGGGTAAGAGCTGGTCGTCAGGGAAGGATGGGGGAGGGCTGTTTTGGGACTAGTCCTCATCCCTGCAGGAAGATGGGGTGACAAGAGGGGCCTGAGCCAGCTCTGCAGTCTTGGCCGGCTCCCCAGACAGCCCACACCCCTGTGGGCGGAGACCGGTGATCTCTTCCTCCCCCGCCCCGCCCCCCTCCACCCGGGGCTGAGTGTGTGTCCAGCTCCTTAAATTGTAGGAGGCCCTGAATAAGTGTGGTGCTGTGTGGCCAACATTTATTGAGCGCTCGTTATGTGGCAGGTACTGTGCTATGGGGGTTACATACATGAAATCACTGGACCCTCATAGAGCCGGGTGTTGGTAACATTATTACACTTTACAAATGAGGAAACTGAGGCTCAGAGAGGCGAACCAAGGTGACATGGTTGGTGGGTGTTGGGTCTGGGATTCTGACCCAGTTATAGCTCATCCCAAAGCCCAAGCTGTGAACTGTAAGCTTCCTGGATGATTGCTTCCTGACCCATCCACGGCTGCCCTCAAATGCTGTTTGCAGATCCCGGGCAGGCAGTGAGCTCCTGGCGTCTGAGTTCAGGACAGTGTACTTGGTGTGTGCTGAGTTATTCCAGCACCAGAGAGTTGGGCAAATCTGCAGGATCGGGGCTCAAAAGAGCAGAATTCCAGACTGGTTTTGCTGCAATCCAGGCTGTATAACCAGGTCACTGAACTCAGTCATCATCAGTTTCATCGCTATAAACAGGGCTGAGAATCAAATGGCGTAATACCTGTGAGAGTGGCAAGGTGCCTGAGAATGGCTTTTGAATTTCTGTTTTAAAAATCTCTTTGGTGATGGGGTAGTTGAGCTCCCCAAGGTCGGGGCTGGCTGGCGTCATGCCATGTTGGATGTGCTGATGCTCTCTAACAGTGTTTCGGAGGCGAGAAGGGACTCGCCAGGCCAATCTGTCCGAGTCCTCGGGTGGCATCCTTAGAAAGGACCTGAGGAACCTTCTCTAGGCCACGCCCTTGTGGAGAGATGGGGATCCAGAATGGGGCAAAAGTATGCCAAGGTCTCAGTGGCCAGTGGCAAATGTGGGCCCAAACCCTGGCCACCCGGCTTGCCATGATGCTCTTTCCACCACATACTGCTGCTTACTGTCTCGTCAACAGAGGGCATTGAGCGCCTGCCATGCCTGGCTCAGGACACGGAGTG